GCTGGACAGCTTACAGTTGGAAAGCTAAAAAAGTTTCCAGTGGACAGATTGTGGGTTTTTTTCTGTCTTCGACTGCATATTGTGGGCTTGTTTAATGGACATTTTCATTTTGGTGGAAGACAATGTTAACATGTTTCACATCTTCATAAACCTTTTGAATTTGTGGGCAGTTTCATGAACATGAGCCGGTTAAAGAGTTTGAACTAATATTTGATGACATGGATACAGGCACTGTGGTAAGGTGACTACCCCAGAGTATAAAAGTCCTCTACAGTACATGCAGAATGTTTTCATTGTGTAAACCAAGAACAACTTCCCTGTAAGGCTGCAGACAGTGTAAATTACCTGCCAAATGTGTTTTGATGAGTTTGTGTACTGCACAGTAAAAATGTGTTCCTATTTCTTGCTGCAAAATCTCACTTGATGTGAATCTATATGGTTCTCATAGAGGCCTAGGGGTCTGGAACGACTGGGGACATTTTTGTATAACGCACTCTTTTCTATTTGACCCAAAACCGTATATTATTATTTTAATATTTCAGAACTTGCACAATAAAGACTACATGGTAAAAATGTACTGTATTTACGTCTTACGTAATATGTTAAGAAGCCCCTTTTCCACAGAGTTATGTAGCCAACTGCTGACAGCTGACTAATGATTGGCTGCTGAGTGTTGGTTCAGGCCACTGAGTTCATGTGACTAAAAAATGTCAGGCCTCAGGTGGTAGAGGTCACAGAGGGGTAACTTATTTAACACAGTAGGCTGTTCGAATACAGTGCAAGATAGATATATAGCCATGTTGGGAGAATTTATTGTTGCAGGTAACACACACATATCAGGACTACAGTTAAAAATACTGACTGCTAAGTAGCACAAAGTAACTCCCAGTCCTTGTTTCTTCTTATTCTTTGAATCTTTGTTACAGCTGGAAACATATCACACATACTCGAGCACACAAGTGTACGCTGGCTGCATGTATTCACACACATACAGTTTGGATGCTCAATTACCTTGGAATGTCTTCATTTCCTGTTTCACTAAAAACTCAGTGGACTATGTTTGTGCGTTTGCTATAACTTTAATGGTGACGGAATATGTGTTGTTTTTAACAGGTTTAATGATGGTGATTTCAGTTACAGAAGGTTTGTTTGAGCCTATCTTTGTGCAGCGGGGCTCTGTCCTGTGTTCTGAAACATGAGTGGTGGCTTTACTATCATTAACAATGTTTTCATGAGGTTTCACAGGGACGTGCCCATTTGTAAAAAACGTGACAGTTAGACATATAATTGGTTTAACAAGAGGGTAATTACTTTGAATAGATATCTGACATAAATACATTGATAAGACAAACCTTTAGGTTTATACCAGATGCAGACATGCAGGGCAGTGGGGCCATCCAAGGCCATTAGGACACAAATGCTTTAGTAAACAGATGTACACGTACACATTTCCAATCACACAATCCCAGTGGGGAAGTACCACTACTCCTTTTTCTAAACCCTCCTGTGATGCTGAGAGACTGGCATGAATCTAAAAGGTAATCATCCGTTCCTCGCAGTCATACAGCTGGCTCAGTGATTACACTGGTTTGTTCTGAGCAGCTGGAAGAATGGCTTTCATTTGGCTTTTATTCTGTTTGGAATGGGCAGTCTGACGTGTATGTATGTGAGTGTATGTGTGTGTGTGTGTGTGTGTGTGTGTGTGTGTGTTTTCTTGGATACATGTGTATTTAAAGAAATGGGTGATGACAGGACAATGACATAGAAGAAAGAGAAAATGAAAAGCTGTGAATCCAGCTTAATGATAGCTTCAATATAAGTGAACCGCATGAATATCAATTCCACTTGAATGGATTAACATCCACTAAATCATCTTATATGTTAAACAATGATGACTGTAGAACCATTTCAACAGTGTGTTTTTCCAAGTTCTAACTGTGCTGACAACTGTAGGGAGGCATTTAGCAACCTACGAGTCCAGACCAGGTTACATGTTTGAGCTTTTGTCGGATATTTCACTGTTTGTAAATGTATATTTTCTGGATGCCGGTCTTTCAAGCCACATTATGTGACTATTCTAATTCTTCCTGGTCGGGAGAAGTGCGTATTGCTTTACGGCACAAAGTCACAAACCATCCAAATATGTCACTGAATTTGGTGAAACTGGATTATATTTTATGCAGAAAATATTCCATGTCTCTCTGTGATTTAGACAATTTCCTGATGGACAGCTGCTAACTGACACTGTACCTATCTAGTTAGCTCAGTTAGCTGTGCCTGGACTGGGACCTCATCAGAGCATCAGGGGAGTGTTTACACGGGTAGCATAGGACCTTGGGACCGCTGTGAGGAGGAGGTTTTCAGGCCTGGGGCGAGGGGGAGCCAGCGGGGAAAGCTGACTAGAGGTGTCGTGCTAGAACCAGAGCTGGGCGAGCGGGCAACGTAACCAGGCCCAGCAGCCTTTACGCACATCATGACAAGGCGAAGAGACCGAAAAGGACATTGATGGAGGAAGCTAAGAAGAGAAAAGGGGAGAGTGACCGAGCAAGAGGCCGCCGGACAAGAGTGAATGGCTTTTAGTTGTTGGTGAGCGCTTTGTGAAATAAAAGGCCGACAGATGGCGAGCTGGCTTTCTGTCAGTAGGACTAGTAAGTAATATTAGCTGACCTGCTATGTCTTTTGTTGTTGCACTTACTTGATGTTAGAAAAGTTATCGACTTGCTTGTTTTTGATCATAAGTAATGTAATCATAGCAGCTGTCCATATTTACAACAGTGGTTTATAAGTGAATTGGGGGCGCCTAATTGAACAGAATGTCAATTTATACATAATGTTTCTTTACCTGGCTTTGAGCTCTACTTTCGACCTGTTTTCTAACTACCTAAAGCTATAAAAGACTTATAATGTCATTATTTTTCATGCAGACTATTACTATGGGAAAAGGGATGTGTTTTGGTTGCTTTTGGCTCACTATTGGATTGTAATAAGGCTGCAGTGCTCCTGGCAGTGGAAATGAATACTGAAGTAAGACACAAACCTTAAATCAGAACTGATGGCAGGATCAAAAATAAATGTGGAAAGTAAGGAAACAGTCTTACTGGAATTAACCCTAATCATACTTGAACATTTAATCTAATGCCAGGGAGAGTGTATTATTAACTCTGACATACAGTGTAAGAGTTTGTCCAGCCAGTACAAAAAACTTTTACCTGAATTGTGCTGGGAAACGTAGCAATGCACCAACAAAAGGCAGGAAAGAAGTAGATTGATAACCAAAGGCGGATGTAAACAATCCTGGCCTAAGAATACTTCAAACAGGCATCTTTGCAAATATTTTTTGAGGAAGTAAATACACTTGTTTGTTTGTTAGACCTCAGGAATACACACACAATGTGTTTCCGTGAGAAACTGTTAACATAACTTTGTGTACAAGAAAACTCCACAGGGTACCTTTAACTTTAATTAGTATTCCTTATTCTTTTCCATGATCGTAAATATTTATATGTTGTTGTTTGTGATTTTTTTTTGTAATAACAAAGTAACTTTATTTTCTTGAGATCTTAAAATATCCTAAACTCACATAAACCAAGTTGTTTTCTCATTATTATTAAATAAACTCTGATGTGGTCATAATCCATAATGTGACATTTTCTCCCTCTGAAGCACATACATGCACACACTAAACTTTAACTGTATCCCATCTGCCGCTTTCCTTCCACTGTTAAATAGTTTCCTGCCTTTTGCTTTAACTTGCTGGGAAATACCTGCTGGCTTCTTATTAGCTGCCATCAAAAAGCCAGAAAACACCATGTTGCTTGTTTGGACGGAGGTTTATAGCTACTTATTAGTGACACTACACTACACCTGATTTCAAGTTCGCTTTCTCAGAAGCTAGTCTCCCTCCATATTTCTTCATCAGAGCACAACATCTGCCACAAACTGCCCTCTTCGTCTAACTCCTCTTACATAACTAATAACTGCTTCCATGGGAATCTGACAGAGAGATACGCACAGATTTAAAGCTTGTTTTCCAGACTCTGCCATATTTGCTCTCCTAAGGCTAAACTCTCGCTCATCGATTTATAGACTGTAGATTTACAGTCTCATCACTCACCTACACACACTTTCTTTCTCTCCACTTGTCAGAGTGGAGAAACAGGCGAGGGACAGCAGGGGAGAGATGCTTAACAGCGTAAATCAAGCCTGAACAGGAAGGTCTGAATAGCGAGGGGCCGCTGTGTGTGAGACAGGTGTATAAAAGCGTTTAAAATGTTTTACATGCTTTTTAATGTGCTTCATATGTTATTTTTTTATATTTTGGTTGCAGTTTATACAGTTTTCACAGCCTCAGTGTGTTGAGTTGAGTACACAGATAGAAAATACACACACACACACTTAAACAAAATCATAGTCAAGTCATACGTAACCATGATTAAAGTACAACATGGTTTAGTGTGCATGTAAAACAAACAGAGAGACGTTTGAAAAACAAGACGCCTCCACCACCAGCTCATTGTTGTCCATGACAACAGTTCATGTTTTTCAGTTTCAGATTTTAAGATTATTTTCGTGGCAGCGGTAAAAACAGAAAATAAGATTCATATATTAATATGACAGGATCAGCTGACACGCTAACACCAGCATTCTTGGGCACAGCTGGGTTTCCCTGGGGTCTGATGGTAAAACCATTTCAAAGCTCCATGAGATGTTTTCACTGCCTTCAAAACCTTCAAGGGGAATAATCTTTTCCCAGAACAGGCCAGGAAAATGGAGCAAAGAGCAGCTCTTATTTAATAGCTGCCAGTCTGATTTTAGTGTCGTTATAAAGGGTCACTGCAATCAGTCAGTCACTCAGTTCTGATTAGTTTACTTTGGAAAAGCGACCCCCCTTCAGTAAGCAATTTGTCCTGATGAAGTCAGACTTGGGATAGTGACCAAATCCTTAAATCACATTAGGTTATTGTGTGTGTGTGTGTGTGTGTGTGTGTGTGTGTGTGTACCTGTGGCCTTCTCAGGGTTGTTACACATGAAGCAGAGCCAACCTCCCTCTTCCTCACTATAGCCAAACAGGTCAAAGAAACGCACCTCTTCTAGCTGAATCTGGAGACTTTCCAAGTCCTGAAGGCAGAAGAAAAGAAAAACCTCATATTTATTAAGTGTCCAATGACTATATTTAAACTTTATAGCTGGTATTTATTAGTACTGGCAATAATACTTTTTCACAGAAAACCTTTTGACATGTCACAGTAGGAAAAGCCCAAGTGTAAATGTTAAAATGGATGAACTCCATTTAACTGCTTCAGTTTCAGGGTCCTGGTATTGTGTAATCCAGTCCACATTCACACTGTCATGACTTACTGGGACATCTGAGTAGAACAGTGCACACATAGCCTACAATAGGACTGAATTAAAGCTATTCAAATATAATAGTCTATAACCTGAATCATAGATTTTCATTGATGTTTTCCTATAATATTTTGTGCAGTGTCCTCTTGTGTTTTGGACATCTGTGGAAACAAGAGTGTCGGTGTAGATCCATTTGGAAAGCCTCTCTTCATCTGCAGCTTAAACAAATGTGGAGAAGTGTGACAGATGCAAAAAAAAGATGAATATTTTTGTAAACCAAATTGTCTCTGCTCACATTGTTTGCTGCTGTTTATTTATACTGTACACCTCTGTAGTTGACTCATAACAATGTGCACAAGGAGACATTTCCAGCAGTTTCACAGAGCACAGTGGTTTTTTTTTTTTTTGATAAGTGGAGTACTGAGATGAAACAAAGAATAGGAAATTTATTGAAGTTTATTTACAGTATTGGGATGTTATTTCTAGTATCTACGACACAAAACACTATAAGCAAAAGGAAGGAATGGGAAAAAGAAAGGAGTTTACAGGAGAGGTTTAACCAGACCGAATAACACTGTTAAAGCTTGTTAAAGCTGTTGTACATGCAGACACATGCACATACAGACAACCAGTGTATACACACAAATGATAAGTGACCCTCATCTCTAAGAGGCACTTAAGAGCCTGACATTCCAGTTTTGCAACTGTGCATCAGTGTGTGTGTGTGTGTCAGAATAGAAAGCAATGGAAACCAAGACCCCATTTCAAATCCCTGAAGACCCCCTGCACATGGTAAGAGTTATACTTCACTTTAAATACACACGGACACACTTCAGTGACACTTTAACCCACGTGATAATACGTATTTATCTTAGGCTGGTTTGGAGAGAAACAGGAACATTTAAGGAGATGATGGATTACTGTCATCAGTCTTCATGACAAAGAAGCAGTCATTCTCTGTGTGTGTATATGTGTATATGTATATGTTTGTGTGTGTGTTCATAATGTATTTGCAGAGTTTTACTAAATCTCTTCATATTGAATTCCCAGTTTAAATATCCTGACCACCAGCCCAGCAAAATACTCTGCTTCATCATTTCTCTGAACTTTGATCCTGCTGCAGTTCCTTTCACATTTTCTGATGATCCATTTAACGAGAGTGTTTCTCACTACAGCAGAGGTCGACTCACATGAAACGCCCAGAGGGAGCTGGATTTGACGGAATATAAGAAAATCAAGTAGCTGTAATGGCTGAGCTACTCGTGTGTTTGACCTTTAGACCTGTGCCCCCTTCAGTCCTTGATGTTAATGAGTGGGGATGTATATGTGAAAGCCGTAGACTTAAAAACTCTCATTTCAACACACGCACACACAGTACTGGCCACCAACAAGCGCACATTTGATTAAAAGAGTGTCAGAGCATTTAGATTCATCCATATATCAGAGCTTTCTGTGTGTTGTTACAACTTAAATAATTGAGGTCAAAGGGCTTTGCCTGCGGATACAGATTAACTAGGACCATGTGTGGCTGAGAGAGATGGGCCATCTGTGGATTTACATGAACATCAATATTTGGACATGATTCAGGGGACTGAGCGGTCTTCAAGACACATATGTTGCAAAGGTGAGAAATTTCGATTATGATTACTGGAAAAACAAAGACTGGACAGAGAAAACAAGAGAGAGACATTAAAAGGTCCACAAACTGAAAGTACTTGTACTTCACTTGATTATTTCCATTTTATACTTGTGCTCCATAACATTTCAGAGGTAAATATTATATTATTTACTTATATTAGAATGATAATATTAGCATATTAGAAAAAATATATATACTATGAGTTTAAAAAACACAACACATTTGCAGATTTAACTACTGATTGTAATGCAGTTAAAAGGGGACGCCACCAATTTTACAAATAAAGTTAATTTTACTCAACATAAGGAGTATGACTCCTATAAAGAGCTTTCTAAAGATAAATAACTCTAATGATGTCATCCAGGTTAACTTAGTTTCTGCTTAAGACAAAGCCTGCCTTACAAACTGAGAGTGTGGCGTTTGACAGATGTTAGCATTTATCAGGCAGAGAGGGTCTATTCAAAGATAGGTAAGTGAAGGATTCAGGGTTTTGGGCTGTGACTAATACTAAAAAATGAGGATATCTTGGCTTCTTCAGTTTTGACCCTCTATGTGAGATCATAAATAGTACCCATTTAAATCTCCCCCTCGACCAACTAAAACAGTGAAATGCTACATACACACTGAAACATTAGTGTTAACAATCTAATATTTAAATATATATATAATACATCACTCATAGTAGCCACTTCTCTGTTGAATGAAGTACATTTTGCTGATAATACTTCTGTGTATATATATATGTATATACGTGTATATATATGTATCTGTATGTTTTTGAATGTGGCTCTTTTACATGAAATTTATTATTTACATTGTTGTATTTTTACTTAAACCTGACTAACTGATTTTTTTGGATGAATCAGAAACAAGCTGTGAACACAACATTGACATATCATCACCTTTGATAAGTGTCATTTATCATCATTTATTTGGACATTTCTGGCGAAACATCAGTCCAATATTCACTCTCCTTTTAGCTCTGATTTTGGTCTCCACCAACTTCAGAGGGAAATATTTGCCTCTTTAGCTGCTAAATGCTCCACTATGTTCACCAGCTAGTTGCTGACTGTTTGTCTGCTGTTTGGTTAAAGATAAAGCTATGAGAGCGGTGAGAGTGAATCAAAGCAGTAAAGTGGACAGCTAAACAATGAGCTGAAACTCACTATAAAGCTCTGTAAAGCCTACGGAGCTGCAGATTCAGGGGATCCTTCCCTATAGGTTCATCACTATGAGTGAAAGCCTCTTAGATTGTCCCATTGTTTTCACAATGAAGTTTGATTAAAAATATTAAAATATATCAATTATAGCCGCTTTAAGTAAAGGATCTGAATACTCCCTTCACTGAATCATGATCATTTTAGAGACAAAAAGTTTAATCCAGGACACTCATTCAAGGAAATAATGCTACACAGATAAAAGTTATTAAAGTCAGTTATCCCTGGAAAACTCCCAATGTTGTCACTTGAGGCTGACAAACGGGAAAAGCTCCTGACAAGCATCATTGAATAATTTTGGACTTTACCATCATCTTGATTCCAACAAGTTTTGGTTTTCAGAGAAAATAAAAAAAGATCTTTTTCTGGATTAGACAATCAGATTCATGCCTAAACAAATGCCAAGGTCATTAAAATAGCTTCAAAATTGTTTACTGATTACAAAGCAAAGCTGATCTGAATCATCTATTCAAGCAACAAGCAAAGGAAAGACAGAAGCGGAAAGACAATGAAAGACAGACTGTGACTCAGCAGTTGAGGAGCAATGCTTCAGAAGAAACAAATCAGTGAAGAATGAGCCCAAAACTGCTGCATAAAACAGTGAGTAATGAATCATTAATTAAAGTGAAATGAGTAAGATATCACATATGTACTTCCTGGGTCGATTACCAGAAAACCTCAAACTACAGCGTGTGTGCGAGGCTCACCACACCGTAACACCAACTCACAGGCCATGATTTGTATATGGTTTAAATGAGCCTTTAGGAAGATGTTTATAGTGACAAATTTGCAGCCGGGAAACAGGCGGACAAACTCAGTCCCATATTTGATTCATCAGGACCAGAGAGGTGGATTCAGTAAAGAGATGAAGAAACAATGGCTGGATTATGTGGATCTGAATCTAATCTCTCTCTCCTCATATAACCCCCTTTACCCTTTCAATATGGCCCCCTCTCTCTCCTTATGCACCTCACCTCCCTCCCTCTATCACTGTTTGTAGACCATCATTATAATTTGATCAAGATGCAAGATTGTAACTGCACATGACCGATGACGACTGCATGCAGTTGATGAAGAGAGCTGTATTGAATCTGCCGTTCCAGTTTCCATCTTCAGCTTTAATGTGCTGGTTCATTGAAAGAAGAGAAACAAAACAGTCAGAGATAATTCCCTGTAGTCTCACTTATATTTTAAGTTTTGTTACAGAGGAACTCCACTGATTGTACACATTACAGTCTGCTTACAGGTCTGGGGGAGCATGAAAAACGTTGTGTAAAGCCTTTTTTGGCTCCGGATGGAGCTCTGAAGTCTGATAAACAGCCTCAAATGATGTCACTTGAGTCAGCATCAGCTGGGTCTGAAGACTACAAGTTTGAAAATGAAAGAAATTTGGTGGTATAGAGTTAGAAAGAAGTGAGAGTATCAGACCTCTGTAGCCTGATCCTCATCTCTGCTTGAGGCTAGCGTCTCGAGGCTACATAACACACCTGAATATCTGACCAAATTGTTAGTGGTTGCTTTGCATTGTGGGTAATCTAGGGGTGGAAAGGAAGGCGTGGGTTAAAAAAAGATATGTCTAGTTCTGCTGCATTGATTTTGATACAATTGTCCACTGTGTGGCCAACAATGTTAGGAGTGCAATGCTAAATCAGTGGAGTGCTCTGTACTTATAGTGTTAACTCACTACACATATAAACACATTCTGGGTTATTCAATTCTTTGAAAAAGTGAGTCTCTTTTCTTGCTGGTCACATTTGAAAAAATCCTTCATCATTCATCCTTCATTAAATCCCTTTGGATATGGTACACAGTTAATTTAAGTTTAGAGTCGCTTCCACTCAAAAATGTGTTTTTCTTCTTGTTCCTACAGTTGGATGTTTGAGCTTCACTGTGCAGAATGATATATGGGAGTTTGACACTAGAAGGATGTTTTCACATTCATCTGCTGAAAGTGAAAAGTTTCTCTGTGCTCACTGAAAATCCAATTTTAAGGGGTGGGGCCTAGGAGCATGATTTGTGACATCACAAATCGTTTGGAAGTCAGTCCTGGTCCAGTGTGCTACTTGTACAGTGTGATGTAGAACCAGACATAAAAAGAGAGAGGAGAGAAGATGAAAGATAACATAAGGTATAGGATAATCCTTTATTCATTCCCCAGAGGGGGGATGCAGGACAACAGCAACAACAGCACAAGGACAGACAGCACACAACAGCACAAGGACAGAAATAAGTACAGATAAAAAGAGAAACTTAAAGTAAATAAATCATTAAAAGTGTATCAAATAAAACAATAAAATAGACACTGTACAAACAACACCAACTGAAACAGTGCAGTGGTGCAAACAAGCTTACTTAAAGAAAGTAGACAAAAATCCAGGTATCTGCTGCAACAGGTTGCCTCCCGCCCTGCACCCTGAAGTAATAAGAGAGGAGAGGGAAGGACAGAGAGGCATTTTGGAGGTTTCCTGAATAAACTCAACTAGAGACGGGGAGAGAGAGAGGACAGTAGGAGGTGAAGACAGGAAGAGGAGTAGAGAGGGGAGTGTAAATCAGAAGAAAGGTGAGTTGATGAGAAGGGGGAGTGTTGGAAAGGGGAGTGAAGGAGAGATGGAAGAGGGCAATAAACAAGGCTCAGGTTGACAGTCTTGACAGAAATCTTCTGTCTAAATATATAAATGTATGAGAACAAGGTTCCTGACACTATATGCAATTCCAAACAGGCACAGACAGGGACAACAAATCTCATATGTAAACCAGATCCTTTTGTTCCTTCAACTCTTTCTTTCTCCTTCCCATGCTGCCCCATTCTTGTCTTTTCCTTCCCCAAATGTCTTTATCTAATCTCAGCTCTGTCTTTAGCTTTATTCTATCTCTTGGTGTTCAGCCTTTCTACCCTCATCCTCTTCCTCCACCAAAGTTGTATCAACAAACTCTCTCACTCTGGCCAGAAGTAAGACAAACGCTAAAACAATACTTGACAGGTATCTCAGGCTTCTCAGGCTTCCACTGTGCTCAGTCTCCCATCATATCTCATGCCATGTCTTCCTTCTCTTCCTTTTTTCTCCTGCCACATCCTCTGTGAAACTTTTTATTCTACTTCTTCACAATCAATTCCTCTCACCTTCTTCCCCCAATCCTCCTCTTCATTCCCAGCCACCATCCTCCTCTCTTGTTTCATTCTGCATGTTCACATCTTCTTCTTTATGTTCGGTCTCTCCATATATCACAGTGTTTTTTCTCTACTTCTTCTGCTTCGGTTTGATACTACTCTCTCCCCTTTTCTTTCATTCATGATGTTTTTTCAGATGTCCACTACACCTCCCTCAAACTTTTTTTTACATTTAAATGATAAACACAAAGATACTGCGGCTCTCCAATTACGTGACGGACTGAGAGACTCTTCAGTTCTTTTTTTACTATTTCCATGCTTTAAACACATTACCTTTTTACTGTTACTGCATCTTTCTCAACCTTTTCCTCCTTCCCCCAGCTCATTCTTGAAGCTCTTAACTCCCTCCATCCCTCTCATCTTTGCTCACACCAGCTTTCTATTATCTCGGTGCCATAAAACTACTAACCTGAGTTGTCAGAGGCCATACATAAGTCCCTCTTAAATATCTGAAGCCTCATAAAGCTATATAGGCTCCCTTTAAATCTCCCTGTTGGTACAAAAATAACCGATAACCTTTTCTGTCTCATATATGTCATAGCTTACCTCCCTTCCGCATCTCTTCTCTCATCATCTTCCACTACATGTGTTTCTGATTGGCTGACAGCGACAGGAGTAAAGATGTAGGACTAACATGGATTGAAACAAAGAAAAAAGGAAATGCAGAGCATATGGATGGAGGGAAAAGTCATGACCTTCTTCTTCCCTCTATCCTGTTAAATCTCATCTTCTTTTCTGTTTGCTTTTTCTTGGTGCTTCCTGGAAAATGAGACTGAGAACCCATTTTAAAGAAAAAAGAGACATAAAAGGGCTATCAACCTGTGAGTCTACCCAGAGTACTTGGCAGGTCCACTGGATCGCTATCTGTGTCAAAACTGAACCTATAAAGTCGACTGGGTATCCACCAAACGTCACTCATGCACATTAAATACAGTTCTTACATTTTGCTCGCATAATTTGCAGCAGTGTGTAAAACTGCTGCCAAACATTCACCACTTCCTGCATGTGTTTCACAATAAATACATTTTAATATGAAGCCAGTGGTACGCCTTTACTTTGAAAAAGTGCTGACACTGACTTTTGTGGTTGGCTAACAGTAACAATAATTTATTGTTATAGTTTTTCTAGTGGTAGACCTAGTCATTTTCTGCTATTTTTTTAAACTTCACATGGACGAAAAAAATGTCATTACATTAGTTACAAAGCTCGATGAAGGAGAACTGACGTTACATCTTAGTAAAGAGGAACTTGTTGGCATATGATGTTAAAAAGGTATTTTTTTGTATGTGGCTGCTTGGATGTGAAAGTGCATTTAAGCCAAATTCTCTGGCCCCTTCTAAACATAAAGAAGTAGACAAGACTCTAACTGAAGCAAGCAAATAATTTCAAATGTAAAGCTATTCCTTTAAGGTACAATTGAGAACAGCAGGAAGCATATTTTACTGGTGACTGAGCAGGTAAATCAGAGATTTTAATGGAGACTGATAAAACGAAGACAGTAAAAGCAGAAGTTTACGACAATGTTTGAACTGTTGAGTGTCACACAGCATGAGTCTTCCAGCCCAGTGTAGTTCCTATGTGTGGGTGTATGTGTGTACGAATAACTGAGTATGTTCAGGCTCCATATGGTAACCATAGCAGGTCCTTCTCATTGCAGCTATAACACACGTTTAGAGAAAGACAAACGACAGCTGTATTTTCTCTGTGGGTCTAATTGTTTCCCAGCGACCACTTAGCTCGTCACATTATGAAGGGGCAGCACAAGGAACACCACCCACACCCACACGTTACAAAAACAGACATTGACACAGGCACACGCACACACAGACCTGATGAGGACGAGGAGAGCAGAGGCCTTGTATACGAAAATGTCAGTTTAGTGAATTCCTAATTTAAACAAAGTGGATGTTGAACTTTGACCTATCTGAGAGTTTGGGTTTTTTTTCACAACAGATGACTTCATCCTCGATGCTGGAGACAGATAGCTTTTAGGATTAAGCAGAATGCGCACACACACACACACACACACACACACACTGTGGTCCAGTACCTTCCTGTGTGGCGTGATGTGCTGTGTCATGGCCATGGGGAAGCTGTGAGCTCCTTTCATCTGTGTCTTCTCCCAAAGAGAAGCAAGTCTTTGGACACACTCGTCCCTGGAGCACAGTGGGACGCTGGACTTGCTCTGATCAAGAGAGAGAGAAGAAAAAACAACAAAACCTTTACACAAAACAGAGATATGGTTTGGACAGAGACAGAGAAAAAGAAATGCAAGTTTTGTCTGCATATATTCCCAAATAAGATGGTTTTAATATCAACATTAAATTTTAAGCTTATATTTTTGGTTTTACTGCTAAACGAGAAGAAGTCAAAATTTTCTACAGTGTTGAACTATTCCAGTGAGCATAAAAAGTAGCATGGAAATATATCAGAACCAGATTAAAGATGGAGTCAGCCATTCTGTAGAGAGAAATGAACAAAAAATAAGTTTCTGGATGTGTATACATGCTTTTAAATACAATGACACATTATGTGCACTACATGTGTGTGTTCCAGTTTTCTATGCACCTGCAGATGTAGCAGCATGATGTGTATCCACAGATGAGGCTGCCGGCTGGTCAGGTTGAAACAGGACTTGGCGTACAGACAGTAATGGCCCTTAAGAGGACAGGAGAACGACAGCTTGGCCACACATCCTCTGTTTGAATCTGTCAGAGACACACAAACGTATAAAAATGGCAAATTCCTTCAAATTTAGCAGATGTTCCATGTGCCCATCTTAAATGAAAATTCCTGAGCAAAAGCAGAGTCAGCTCCCTTTCTCTGTGTGTTTCTCTCTCTGTCTCTTGCACATATGGACTTGTGTAATCTTGGGAACATATTTACAGAGTGATTCATAGCATGCAAGGACACCCAGTCTCATAATCATCAGAAAACGTCTTCTCTTCCCACCAGCACCTCCCACGAACTCCCACCTCTCAGCCAACGAGAAGAAACTTGCTTCACATGGCAATCATCTGGTAGATCAAAATGAAATACTGAAGGTTACTTTTTGGAGTGCTTCGTTTTAGTATTTTTAGTTCTATGATACCCATGTAAAATGAATTCTCTGCTGCACAGCTGGGCCTGAGTTTGATAGTTAAATAGGTTTGGGATTTCTTCTGTCTTTTAAAGCAATCGTAATGAATTCATTCACTTTGTGGTAGAAGGTTAGATGAGAAGACTGATACCACTCAAAGCAGAAAAAAGGTGAATAGTGTGCACATCCAAACCCTTGTTGGGTGCAGGTGCAGGACAATAAACAGCATACAGAGGAAAATGAGAGGTTGGATGCACGCTGAAATTCACAAGCTTCTAAAATTTTTATTGATGCAACATGTTTATCTGTAAGATTTTTGACAGCTGGCTGTAAATACAGACACAAAATGACAGCTCCATCTACAATGAAGTCTCCAGCAAATTGTTTTTTTTACACACGGATGGGGAAAAAAGTTACCTTTGGACAGAGAGAGAGCTACCTCCCGTTCCCATTGTTTTTGAGTTAACCCAACTGGCTTCTGGCTGTAGCTCTATTTTACTGGCAGATATGACAGCGGTATATCCTCATCTAACTCTCTGCCACAATGCAAATCAGTGCATTTCCCAAATCCAAAGGAATCAAACTATTCCCTTAAGCTGGCACTCATAGTAAAAACTCTGAAGCTATGCTGGCTATCTGCAACACGCGTTAATGACAAAGGGAAACTACAGCAGTGTCCTCATTTAGGATCCTATGGCCTCAGGGTAGAAGCTCTTCCTGAGCCTCTCAGTGCTAGTATACATGTGCCTGTGCACTCTTCTGTGTAATCCTCATCCCCTGAGATGGACGGTGAGCAGCAGATGTGTGGGTCAGCCAGCAGCATGATGACATCATACAGCTGAGACCACCTGTGACATCATATCCTAAGTGCCTTGGGGTTGATTCTCATTAAGACACTTAATACTAAGAGAGCGAATGCAAAGCACCAATTATGAGATGAGGAATGAATGTGTGTGTGTGTGTGTGTGTGTGTGTGTGTGTGTGTTTAACAATCATTTATTTACATTTATTTTCAGATTTAATCAATTAACCAGAGGCCAAAGGAGGAGTTTGTTATTTTATGTATTGTTTCCTGTGTGTATGTACGTGTGTGTGTATGTGTGTGTGTGTGTGTGTGTATAACTCCTGGCTGCGTCTTAGTTAAAATAACATTAAGGCCAGTGGCAGAGCAAAAACATCCCCTCCTGTCAATCAAAATATCATCACTTCTTGTGTCGTGTTTGAATCTAGTGTAGTGTGTCCATGTGTGTGTGTGTGTGTGTCCGTGTGTGTGTGTTTATGTGTGTGTGTGACCTTTATATGTGCTTAATATGTTCAAAAGAATGAAGCTGTGTCCCCATAGGCGGGGTTCACTGCTGCAGATGGCTCAGACAAAGGAACACAGAAAGGATTGAACTGTCCAATTATTTATGTACGCAAGTGTGAAGTGATGTCTGCACGTAAACCACAGGTGTGTAAGGTCTCAGAGTTCTTGTGTAAATCTGTCTATATGCAAGACAAATGTTCAAATGTATTGCTACATATTTTAGGTTTGTGTTGCTTGAAATTATGTGTCACATAACGTTAAGATTAATCATTTCGGGAGGGGCCTGCATCAAGTAAGAAGAGAAAGATCTGATTCAATATAGACATGGTGATGACAGGCACAGCTAAAAGATGGCAATGAAATCCTAAATCAAGTGAAGCAAATCGAATTGGAACAAGCAGAAATCATAAGACATGAATGAAAATAAAATATCAAACTGCTGAATATGAGAATGAAAGGGGAAATGTGAAAATGGATTACAAAGTTTTAGAAAATGGATTAGATTAGTTTGGAGACGTAAGAGGTTTCTCATTTCATGAACTGCTTGACCTCAGTGAGCACTGCTAAAAGTCTGGTATGAAAACATGCACACACACACACACACAGGAACTGCACCTACATATATACATGTGCTTCGAGCATATTACAAATGCATGCATAACATTCATCTGTTTCTACTTTAAGCTGACTGTGTTGTATGGATGTAACTGAATATAATGACCCTGCCCACCTCAAAACAATCCACTGCCTCTATACCGTAATTAATTTCTCTATTAACAAATTAGCTCCATGACATTTGCCCCATAGAGTTTGGCAACATTCTGTCACTCCAGAGTTCACTGGACTCTGCAGCTGGATGGAAGGACAGGACTGTAAATACGCTTTCTTTTTTGTCAAAGAAAATCCCATGAAAAGACCAAATACAATAAATTGATTATACTAAAAGAGATGTTATTAAAAAACACATCAGCGAGCCATACAGTTGCACTGGGTGACTGGGTGACATGAACCATGACCATGGTCAATCGAACATACACCACCCTGCTGCTGGAAATCATTACAAGAGCACATTCAACTGAAGACCCCATCCAAGGACCTTTTTTGGCTAATAGTCCATTAAATAAATAAATATGTACACACATATGTACTCTGCCTCGGATTAAAATCACTGATCTGCACAATATTAAAACCAAGAGAAATAAATCTCTGTCCGATTAGGGCTCAAGAGACACTAATCAACCCACTAATGACTGATGTGCAAAGCTGCATCTGTATGTATGTGTATTTGAGGCAAAGAGTAAAGGTGGGAAGGAGAGAGAGGAAGAGGAGGAGTATTCACACCATCATTAATCAGCACCAGCCAAAACGTCTGACTGTAATCTCATTCAGGTTCAGCAGGTTACACAAACCCTCCCTCTGATTCCCTGTGTACCTTTTTATTACCCACAACGCTGTTATACAATTATTTCTAGAGCGAATCTTAAAGGAAACACGCACTTCCAAAGCCAGTCATCATGTTCACATTACCTTCTATCACACACTGCTCTGGTGTGGGGATCTGCTGCACCATGTCTTTACAGAACTCTCTGATCGTCTCCATATTGTTTCTTAAATGTATAAGGAGCCTGTCGGCTTCCCCCTGCTCCTCCTTCTCTCCATCCTTCTCCCTGCTTTGACCTTTCTCAGCCTCTGCGACCCCTCTGTCCAGGGCAGACATGGAGCCATCACCCGCCAGCTTCCCCTCAGTAGGCGGTGCTTCCTGGTTCTCGGAGTGCAAATTCACTAATGTGTTGGAGAAGATGTTGTCTGGGCTTGGCTCCAACCCCTCAGCGTCTTCCCCACCATCTGAGTTGACGGAGCGTGAGCGCACAGCGTGGAGGGCCAGGCTCTTTGACCTACGACAGACCATGAATAACAGTAAGAGTGCTGCAAAATAATACATCTTAAAGGGACCAGTGTGCTGGATTTAGCGGCATCTAGTGGTGAAGTTGCTGATTGCAAATAACTGAACACTACTCGTGTCTGTATTTGACAACCTGGGAATTAATAAAGTGTGTAGTAGACACTACAGCCAACGGAAAACATGGCGGACTCAATGGACAGACAGACTAATGAAAACAAACCTTTGAATATTATATTTAGTTTCTGCCAATAGATCCTCCTAATTGTTACACACTGGACCTTTAACAATTAAAATTCTATCTGCTTCCTGTTTTTAACACCGTGCAGGAAATAGTCCAGGGTTAGGTTTCATTTTTTATTTATTTAACAGACCTGTTGAATCTCATCTCTCGCCTCTCCTCCCTGACGGCTTGGCTCAGGCTGTAGCGTCGCTGAAGGGCAGGAGACTCTTCCTCCACCTCCTCCTCTTCCCCCTCCTCCCCCATTTTCTCCTCAAAGGCCTGGATCTTGACCTGCAGCCGCTGCTCTGACCCAACTCCTCCTCCTGCTCCTGGAAGAGATACACAGGGAGACGGCGGGCACGCCTCGTCCATCCTGTAGAACACACACACACACACACACACACACACACACACACACACACACAGGGCAAAGGGTTGGATTGCAGGTGGTGGGCACGTGAGATGAAGCTGGACACATTTGGATGGATTTCAGTCGCCTCACTCTCCCCGTCCCTTCCCACCTTCCTCCCTCCCTCCCTCCCCTTCTGGCTAGCTTTCCTGTAATTCTCGCTTTCTCACGATGACTGGCTCTATTTCAGTGTCTCTCACTCCATGTGTCCCCCTCTCTCCGTCTTTTGCTGGCAACATCTCATTTTCTCCCTCTCTCTTTGGCTCTGTTTTTCTTTGTCCCTCATTATGGTGCCTGTCTCCTCTCTTTTGCTCTCTAATTCAAACTAATTCTTCCCTCCCTCCCTTCATCTCGCTCCCTTTCTTTCTGTCCATGTTTCTTTTTGCGCGAGTGGCCTCTATAACTTCATTAAACAGTCCACTTGTTTTCCTAAAGAGGACTTCAATCTGCCCTGTTGTTGTTTTTCTTTTGCCCTCACCCCCTCTTCTTTCACTAATAAACCACCCTGCCTCTCTCAGTCCCTCGTTTTCCTATCTTTCTTTCAGAGGACCCCAAGCAAAGCATTTGGAAGCCTCTAATTCTGCACACAATGTTCCCTTTTTGGAAAGAGCTGTGCGTGTCATTCCCATACTGCAGCCAGATGAATCCCAGTCAACTTATGCTCACTAACACGCAAACACATGCACACACACATACTGCGTTTTGAAGCACTTTACGTGACTTCTACTTTATTTTAAATATAGCAATTATAACAAAGTCACTGGTGGACATAATTTAATATAAACAATCACAGTTTTGTGAGTAAAACATTTTGATGGTCTATAAATAATATAGACTTACAAATGTAGCTTTTTAAGGTTTGAGTTTAATAAATCTGTTAAATATGTTGGCTCCATGTGTGTATTCTCTTGGCTTTGTGCAAGTTTTAACTACTCACAGATAAATAAGCCACTTTTTTAGCATTTCAGTATTGAAATCATTTTATTTTTATTATTTTAATACTGATTTCATTGTCTATTCTGCTCCTGAATCCAGTTGTTTACTACTTGAGTACTTTGTCCTTTGTCATTTGTTATTTACATTACATTAAAAACAAATAAGTAACAATCAATGTTGAGTTTGGGTGGAAAAAATCCTTACGTATATTAGTAGTTCAACAATCAGGAATTTGCTTCTACGGAACTGTGTTTGGATTGATCAGATTTGATTGACAATGGCCTTAAAACACAAGCAAACCACCTCAGGACGACAGTTATCGTGGCTGACGAAGGGAAGTACATGACCTTTTTCCAACTTCAAACCTGTGACAAGACCAGAGGCAAAACTATACAGAAGTTCATGCAGGACCACGAGTCAAGAAATAAGTGCATTTAAATGATGGGAGGAAATAGTGCAGGAACTACATGCAGGTTTTATGACTTTAATTGACTTTTTCCTTCTGATCCCAAACCAAGTGAATATCTGCTGTCAGATCAGCACCAAACATTTCTGATTATGAATGCAAAGATTCACTTTATCAAGCGAGTCTCATTATTTTTGCCTTTATTTGACCGGAGAGCTGAAGACAGACAGGAAAAGGAGAGAGTGCAGCAAGGACTCAGTGTACATGTGGTTGGATTTATGTATATTCTGGATAGGTGTGTACATAAACAAGAGTAAAACACAACACTCTCATTCCCTGTAAGTGTGTCTCTCCTCACCTGCAGTGCATGGTCGCGCTCTCCTCCAGCCTCCTCCCCAGCAGTCTGGCTATAGCAGTGAACGAGTTGCTCATCCTGTAGATGTCTTTCCCGCAGCCTCCCAGCAAAGACGGGTAACGGTCGGTCAGAGCTCTGATCTCCAGCAGCAGTGTGTGGTGAAAGCTGTGCTCCATGCTGCCCAGAAGGGACACCAGGTAGACCAACGAGCTGTGAGCATGAGTCTGGAGAAAGGAGACAACAGAGGAGACAAGGAGTTAAAAATGATAACGTCTGGTGTTGTGAGCCATGATGGCATGAAACTACACAAAGAACGATGAAAAGAAAGAAAGAAATATGAGAAGAGAAGTTGTTTTACGGTACAAAAACATCCAGTTTAATGTTGTGGGTTATTTTTGAACAGACTGAAAATCACTGAAAATGAGACCAGAGAGGACAGTTTGAAAGTTTTGTTTCACCACATGTGTTTTGGGAAATTAAGAGTGTATTTTATCTAATACGAAACACATTAGTGTTACACTTCCAAGCAGTTTGGGGGGTTTTGGTGAAACTTCTTTTCTTTCTAAATCTCTACAAACAACATTAAATACAAACATATGCAGTTGGCTTAAAATATAAACTTCTTCTTCTCCCAAATGGTTTTGCTGTTGTTTGGCCTTTGAAATACCACACATACATACATATTTCATCATTCTCAGCCTGCTTTTTGTGTAAACTATATCCAAAACATATACAACCTGCTCACCTTTGACAAAGAATAATACTTTATGTTACTTTACGAGGTTTAAACACTCTGTTATGCATATTTGTTGTATTCTCTAAGGAAAGTTAATGCCTCCCTTTTATATCTACTGTTTCCTGTGATATGTAAAACCATAACCAATACAATACTTTAATTTAATCACAAATTAAACTGTGAGGTTTTATCTTTACCCTCTTTGGATCCCATACCGTTATTTAATAAAAACACACATTTTAAAGTGAAGTAAACCAGTAAACACAGAACTCACTGATGACAGATGAACTAAGGTGACATTATTTAGTAACAGCTCTCATGCTGTGTTTTAAGGCAGAAAAACAAAGCTAACAAAACCCCCCATCTGTGCACAAAAACAAAACCAGGGTTTATGCTTGTAAAACATCACAACGCTCAAACTGAAAAAAAAAAAAAGACCTCCCACTGAGAGATTAACTAATGGATTGATGGAGGGACAGAAAGACCGACAGAGCCAACCGGTGCTTACAGAGCTCGAGCACACTTTGTAACAAGGAGAGAAGAATGTAGTTACTGCACAGTTCGGGCATGTTTCACAAGCACTCTCTGTGGGATGCTAAATTTATACGTGGATGCTAAAACTACCAGAAAAGCTAGAAGTTGACTTTATACTGTTACGACATGCCAAAAAGGTATTTAAGAGTGTTTTGAGGTTGAGAAACAGAAGCGTGCCTGGAGTGCAGGCTGCAGGTACAAAGACTTTACTAGGATGTATGCTACTTCTGCAACACACCTTAGGCTTTTATTGTCAAGATGATTTTAGTTTTTCAGGTCTCGTTACAATACTTCCAAACATTACAGCATAAGAAGAACTTGCAACATTTACAGTTTGCAAGTGAGACATTTTACTTTATTAAAAGCCTTCCAGCCCTCCTTAATGGTCAAATGTGACAAATGTTGACATTGTTTAATTGTCTGGAAAAAGCACTTGGCCTTGTTCTCATGTCACATCACTGGTTCAAGTTTTTATGTAAAACCTGCAAAAAGAGGACAATAACAGGAAGTTCTAAAAAAAAAGTTAAAGGAAAGAAAACTATGAACTGTTGTATTTGATTATAATTTTTCATGTTCTCCAAATAATTATGGCAGAGTAACAGATATTCAGGACAGATACAGATCTGGAAAAAGAAATCAGATCTTTTCTGCCTGTGCACAAAGGCACAAACCGACACACACATAAACACATCCTGAAAAAGACACAACTTGGCCCATCACTCCAGTATAATAATCCAAAAACACTAGAAGCCAATCTCCTCTGGCAGTAGCACATGTGTTTGTGTGCAAGAGATATTTGTTAAAAAACGTCATTTAAATATTGAATGATTCAGACTTTACAGAAAAAAGAAAAGAAAACACTGCAGCAGTCCAGCAACAAGCCAGATCCTTTCTCCGCTCACTAACCTGTTCTGTCTTTCTTTGCTCGGTCAGTTTCCTCTGATTGTCCATCAGCACACTGATCTCTCTGCTTCCTTTGGAGTCTGGCACACAACCGCTAACCTCACTCCCTAACAAGCCCCATGGAGATACTGCTGTGTGCATGAATGTGTGCTTTCTTTCCCAGAGCGCATTCATTATTTGTGAGAGTGAGTATATACAGTATATCGAGGGAGAGATGATTTCAATTTCTGTCTGTACGGACGAACTGTGAAGACACTCAGCAGAGTCAGTCAAGCGCTTCAAAAGTGATATTCCTGCCATACAAAAACACTTTAAATATTGATAATAAGCAAAAGAAGAACAAACCTTTCCAAGTATGTCAGTTATCTGAGTCAATTAAACTAGATTATGATTAATAGCATACTGTATGTCATCCTGTACATTTGTTACTGGTTTGCAGAGACTAAAATCTTTTACAGTTACATTTACAGTCTATACTCTAATTTCATGTTGAAAATTTTCCTGGAGTTATGTCTTTACACTTTTAAATCTTCCACATCAACAGCATGTCAAGTTCTGTCTCTAAGGCTTGTGATGCTTTAAAACAAAGCAAAGTTAACTTGGGTCCTTTTGGGTTTTATATTTTCCAGCTATGAGCAAAGAGTTATTTTTACCTTCCCAAATTGTCATTTTGAATAAGTTTTATAGGCCTGAGGAAAAACTATCCATATATTTCACAAAATACTGGATAACAAATGTTTGCTTTATGGAAACTAGAATATAAACTGATGATCAGAAAACAGCAACACATGTATGATGCAGTCCTAGTTAAACAGTTTAGATTTTGTTGAGGATAATACTTAAATCGAGTGCTGACTCACATTTTGAGGCTATGTGATTCATGTATGTTGTTGAGTCAGACTGCATAATTTTGAAAGGTTTTTCTGATGTTTTGTCCACCTAATTAATACAGAGATTAAAATAAAAAGAAAAGAGACTAATGATATAATGTGAAGCAATACAAGACCACTACAAACTACAGCCTTAAAAAAAATAACCATAGTCAATAAACATGTTTCTGAAACAGCAATAACACCAAATAAATAACATCTTAGTTTCTTAAAACTGCTGGGTTGGACAGCACTGGGGTGTTCAGGAGTTTCTTTCTCTCAGCGTACTTTGATGAACATGGTGATATATGCTGATCTAACAAGCAAGAAGTCAAGAAACTCAATATAGACTAACTCCCTTCAGGAGGTAAAGGGAGCCAGAGAGAGTTGTGCAATCCTGTTACAATCAAGTACAAATGCATCCCAGTGTGTGTGTGTGTGTGTGTGTGTGTGTGTGTGTGTGTGTGTGTGTGTAGGGCACAAACACAAACCCACAGGAGGTACTCTCCACTGCCATCACCAGGAGGCCTCTGTGGAGGCATTTCCCAGAAAAACATGGGTTATTTTCCAAATGGTTCCAATGTGAAGAAAGACAGGACACCGAGGTCTGACCAACTGTGTGTGTGCGAGTGTGTGTATGTGTGTGTGCATTTGTGTCTGTGCTGAAGCTGGGTTGGCAGGTTCTTCCACAAAAAGATTGAGTAGTAAGGGAGCTTTTGGAGGAAAGGTTGCCCTGGAGTAATAGAAAACTTTATTATAGTTTCCAGCTCCATAATCTGTGTGTGTGTGTGTGTGTGTGTGTGTGTGTGTGTGTGTGTGTCTATCTGTGTGTGCGTGTGTCTGTGTGGGTGTGTGTGTGTGTGTGTGTGTAAATGGAGGCACGCATCATCTAAAGACAGTTGTGGCATATTTCCCCCTTTCGTTAATTTCCCCAAATTGTTGTTAAACTGCCTTAAATGGACCCTGGGGAAAAGAGAGAGTCCTGCTGTCACCTCCATCAGTCTGCACACACACACACACACACACACAACAGACTGACTAATGGGTGACTTCATCCTACCCTATCATAGCGTTGCATAGACAATCATGTACTACTTCCTATGTCTGCACAACACAAGTTAATACAATTATCTCATGCTCTTTATACTCAAGCTAGCCCCATACGTGACCTTGGCACTCCTCACACTCAGTGACTCGCTCACACAGGCTTACGAGCGAAGGAGACAGTGGGGTTAATGTTTGAAGAATGTTAAAGTTTCTGAATATCTGGCACAGTTTTTGGATTTAAATGTTGGTTGTGCCTTGGGAAAAGGTGTTCTATTCCCAGACAGATAGTTAATATCGGTGCAATCATGAAAATACCTTGAAAGATGCAAACAGCTTACAGAAAACACGTAAAAAAACCAAAACGTTTGTATTTCCTCCATAAGGTTTGCGCTAAGAAGCCACAGAGTCAGCGAGTGTACAGAGGGTCAAGGTCACATATGGGGCTAATGTCAAACGTGCTTAGCTAATGGGTGTGTCGATGCTGTGGTATACTGAATATGACCATACATTATCTGGTGTACAGTATGTCTTATGTCGTCCTTTGAATTTCCTTGACTTCAAGTTTTGTGTCCTTTGCATCTACTGCGTTACATAGCAACACAGTCAGCTTTTAAAGCCTAGCCAACAGAAGGATTTACTCAGAACCACTTTCAGATGGGAAGGAAAGATAATATAAACAGAGGAATTACAAGTGCTCATTTAAACACTCGGATGAGCAAATGAAGGTAGGCTCAAGAGAGTCAGACAAGACGGTGCGCCTGTGTATGTTTGTGATACATCACTCCCTCCTTCTGCAGCCCATCAGTCTGCAGCGATGCCACCTTGCAATTTGCTCCAGTTGCTGGGCTAATTTATCTGTGATCACTGACAGGAAATAAGAAGTACACAAAGCTCCCAGGTCTGCTGAGAAGTGAGGCCAATGCGGTAGTAACTTAAACCTGCATTCTTTTTTGTGGCCAGGTAGGTACAGCTCCACTGGTAGCAAAAAGACCTTTGCTTATATTAAGCTCAGTTGAAAATTTGTATTTATTTATTAGCTCAGTAAACAGTTTCCTAATAAGTTTATGGTCTCAATCGCTAGTTTTAAGTCTTCTTCCATGGAGCTTGATGATCATTTTGTAAATTATGATCCCATTTAGAGTAAAATGGCCAATAAAACAGGGTATGCTTTAGGGTGTCACTACCTTGTGATTGACAAGCCATTCTCAGTGGGTCTGTCCAGCATACCACACAAAACTAGGCAGTGCTGATCAAGTATAAATCAAAATTCAGTTACTGCATTGACTATTTTTTTTCCTAAAATGTTTTCAGAAACATATTTGTGTGACCAGGTAAACCACCATTGTTTCCTGCTACAGAGAGGTTCAACTTAAGAACACGGTCAACTCGCAGTACGTCACCACCATGGCGACGGCCATAATGCCAAACTTGGGGCTTCAAAGCAGAACCCGACAAACCAATCACAACACGACAGTCACGACAGGTTCACACTTGGCTCAAGTGTTTTTCCAATTACAGTCAGCTAATGGCTGAAACACCACTTTTTACATGATCAGTGCTATTAGGGGCAAATGAGCAGCCAAGTCTGCAGGGCAGAGTGTTTAACCTCTGGCTGGTCAAAATGAGGCTCATGGGACAAATTAAGCTTAGTCTAAAACTAATTGTGATGTTTTAAGTCTTCCAAAAATGTATATTAGTAGTAGCAGTATAGTTTTAGTAGCATAGTATTTTAGTATAGCAGTATTTGAGAAATGAATTCCTGCTGAACTCATTGGTGCAAGCACATATTTAAACACAATATCAGGCAGGAAGTTCTGTCACAAATGTACATAAAAACATTTCTCGAGGTTAATGTTCCCTTAAATTCTGTCATGCCGGCACCATTAGGTTCCTCACAGAGCTGCTCCTTAACTGTTCCTTCAAGAGAGATTAGTTTCTCTCCCCACCAGGACAGCAGCAGTTTGTTTCCTCATCTCTATGCAGCTGTAGAGAGACAGAGAGGAGTCGGCATGTATTTGTTTAGGACGTACACTCCAGAGGAACACTGACGTGTTAGACAGCAGTCAAAACCTCCGGATTTGCCTGGCCTGTCTGGTGTGGTGTGAGTGTGTGTTTTATACTTGGCAGGACAACAGAGAAAAAGTCATGTGAGAGTGCAGCCGATTCCTCCCTACTAATTAAAATAATAACTCCTGCATGTTTCAGTGTGTGTGTGTGTGTGTGTGTGTGTGTGTGTGTGTGACAATACCCAGTGCCAAGCAGACTTCAGGTGCATTAATAATGTTATTCCCATGGCATTTTACATGGATTTGAGTGTTTTTGCAGTCTGTCTTTGTTTACTACAAACAACCAATGCACCAACAATACAGACATTTGCTTCAGAAAGCTATCAGCATGCACCACCTGCATGTTATTATGTGTTTTTGGGTGATTTTGAGACTGATTTCATGGGAATGTGACGTATGTTTTCCTTCAGACTTTTTCCCTCTTGTCTCTTACTGGAGTTTGGGAATAATTGTACATTTTGTCTTCGAAGGTGTAGTTAGAATTTTTGGTAAACAACACTTTTTTTGGCTTTATTGCAGAGAGTTAGACGTGAAGATTGATTTAATCTACAATGTAAGTCTAGGTGTAAAAAGAAAATTTCACCATTTAATGGGTAGTGGTGGTATTTTATGGCTGGTATCAGAAATTTCCCAGAGTGTCTGCTGGTTACCTGGTGAATTGTAGTTTCTACACCCTGTTTTTATATGGAATAACAACCTGAGTGAATGTGTCAATTTTCTAGAACGAACCCACATTTTTTCACATCTTTCCACAGAGTTTGTATGTAACGATGCCACATTTTAAAATTTGCTTCCACTTTCTGATTTAACTTCAAATCACTGAAGCAGACGTACATAAACACGTTCTTTTGTGTGTGTTTTGAATGTGTGCGTCTGTACCTCGCTGATGATACCCACGGCACCATGGATTTTGGCCACGTGACCCAGGAGAGCAGGACATTGTTGTCCCACAATCCTCAGCGCTGGCAGAAAGCTGACCAATGAGGAAGGGCTGGCCTGCGACACGTCCACGAGCGCACCCAGTAGGGCCTCAGTTAGGGACTGGTCTCCTAGGTAACTGACTAGTGCAGGAACCTGAGGGCTCAACATCTGTAAAGGTAAGAAGAAACAAAGACAGAGAGGTTATTCATTATTTTTGATTATAGCGGGAATCCTGACACCACTCACTAACAAACAGTACCAAACAGAGACTTGATGTGCCTTTAATGAAGGCTGGAGGTGAGAGGAGTGACCTTGGAGCGAGATGAACTGACTGCTGACTACTAATAAACAAAAGCTTGACTGTAGGACTGTCTGTCTGTCTTCCTCCTCATTATCTGGACTGGTCACACTGGACTGCACTAGACTGGACTGGATCAGACTAACAATGGCCACCATTGCCGGCCCCCCTGCTGCTACGTTTTGAGTCATTTGTTCTGAATAATTTCAAAGTTCCATACAATATTTTCAGTACAACATCACTTCCAGGCAATGAATATTAGGATGCAGAGGATTTGGTAACAACCGTGATGAATGACGCTACAATCACAACAGAAATATTTTGTGCATCTGTGTGGGGGGTGGAGATTAGAATAACTCCAGATGGCTTGTTTTCGGTCTCCAGTGCTTCACATGTGAGTGAGACTATCTGTGTTTTACCCCCTGTGCTCTGGTTGCTGGTATGTGGTACTTTCCCCTCATGTTGAACACCAGCAGTTCTGCTCCAAAATATGCATGATTAAGGGAATTCCTAATCAGAAATATGCACATGCATGGCTCCGTTTCCTCACTTCCAACTATTTCAACATGAGCTCATTACAGGTTATAGCAAAGTTGAATGTCTGATTAAGACTCACTGGCAGAGACGTAGCAAAAAAGCCGCACACATACTTCACTGTAAGACAATGCCAAGTTAAATATGCCACAGAGACTTGATTTAGTTGGACAGTCCATTATTTTCAGATAACCCCACAGTCTGAGGTATTGTAGCTACCTCATTATAATTTTAAATAATAGGTGTTTTAATTAGGTGTTTTAGGGCCATGGCTTCCTCAAACAGTTATCCAAGGCTGACGAAGATAGTGCCAACAAAAACCTTGAAGAAATATGATGAAATATACCGTAATTTGTATTTAGATTACTGGGAAAGTGACAGTGTAAGTGCAGTTATAAGAATAGTTTGATCTACCCACACTGTGATTTATTTCTAACACAAAACTACACAAACACTCACAAAGGGATGTTGCTCAGCAACCATCTGAATGAGTCTGATCAGATGGTGTTGCTCTGGGGACTCCAGCTGTGACATCATCGCCGTGAGGTCGCCTAGGTGACAGTGGATGGTATCTGGTTGTCTGGGGTAGACTGATGGCAACACTCGTAACAGCATGTGGTTACCTGCCAGAGAGAGTAACAGAGATGTCTTCAGTAAGCCTCACAGACAAAGTTTGAATATGGTGTCCACCAATTGGATACAGGAAAGGGTCGCCATAGAAAACACTAGTTAGACAGAGAAAAATATCCCGTGTTCAGTGTGAGTTCAGTAGAAGTGTGAAAAGTAGAATTTTTTAAAAAGTAAGAAATTAGAGCTTACATTTTCCCTCAAATAACACCCAAAATAGCAGTCTTTCCTTCCCTTTCAAAGAAAGAGCTTATTCAAACTTTGCTCGATAAAACTACTATTAATACATAATATTTATGTTTTTATGGCTTTTTATATAGTGGAATAGTTTTTTTTCCAAACCTATTTCTCACTTTATATAAGTGTCACCAGTAACTAGTTATTTAATTCCATGCACTGTAAATTACTGCTTTGTAACGTATTCTTTGTACTATAATGTATTATTAATCTTACTCTATGTAGGTGCACTCAGCTGCCAGTTTATTAGGTACACCTAGATAAAACCAATGGAGACTAAAATAGTCCTGCAATAAATCCTACTTTAATGAATACTGTTCAGTTGTTGATGTTTAAGAGAGTTGTTAATTCAATCTTATGATCATTTTGAAGACTGTTGAACTGTATTGTGTTATACTGACAGGTGTTTCTAATATTTTGTCTACCCCATTGACGTCAATGATTGTTAACTAAATAACAGAAATGCCGCTCTATATAATGTAATACAGTTCAACAGCACCAAAACCCGAACTAGTTTTAACTGAGTGTACATAATGTTTGGCTTCATAAAACTTGTACGACTGTCTGACTGCTTGTGTTGTGTTGACACATTCCCAGATCTCAACAGTTAACTTGGTGACTATAATTTTATTACTACCAAGAGAATTGATTGATGAAACCAGCATTTTCATATAAGCTGTTTGGGGTGTAGCTGTACTGTAACATCATGCATATTTGCTGTAACTGTTATTTTCTTTTCGATCCCCTGTCGTGATACGCCATCTGTGCTCAGTAAATAAATCTTTCTCCATTTGTTGTCAATATTCCTCCAATGATGCTGATGCAAAAGAAAAAAAACGAAAAGAAAAAAGAAAGTCAGTGCTGACGCATGAGTGGACGTAAAGGCATTTGTAAATCAGCCGCAGCCCAACAGAACCCACGCCATTACCCAACAGCCCTTGACTCACGTATGCAACATCTTTAAATGATTCACATTGCAGCACAAAGACTCTTGTTTTCAAATGGTAGGTTCATTATTGGTGACATTTCAAGATTTCAAACAATGGCTTTTGTGTCCTACAGTGAACCAAACGCCAGACAACAAAAGATATTGTAAATTAAATGTTTAACCACAGTTTTTTGGATCTTATTATAAGAGATGTATAAAATTATGGTTTGTGTCACAGATAATGAAGGATTTAAACCATGGACAAATTGTATTTGTTGATGTCTTGCAATTTATTCTAATAATCTTTTATTAAATGAACAGTAACAGCCGGACAGACTGAAGGGAATACTGACTGAAGAAAGACACCTGTAATGTAACAAACAACTTTATTATGAGACATTTCATCAGGTGTGGGTTACCATGTGATGATTAAATCAGATTAGATTGAATAAACTTTATTTATTCATGGTGGACTGCAAGAGGAAACAGAGGGAGATTATGCAAGAAAAAGTGGGTATCTTGCTGCTATTAATGAAATGTTTTTATTATTAAAAAAACCTGTCCTATTCTGACCATTTAGACCAATTTATTGTTTTCTTTTAAAGCTCCATTTTATTATGCATGTTTATTCGTGTCAAATAAATCAATAGTGTATCAACAAGAAATCATAGGGGATATCATTAGTTTTGCATGTGTTATGGCATTATATGATTATTAACCAAATTATTGGACAAAGTAAAGTTTTGACATGTTGTAACGTTAAGGGATTATCAAAGTGATTATAATTCATCCTCAAGCTGCAGCAGAATTGCCTTTCAGTTAATAGCTAGACATTTAAATTACAGTATTATCATACTAAGAGTATTTTTAGTATTTATCATCCACATCTGGGCCAGAATATGGTGAACTTTTGTCATATTGAAAAAAAAATCTTAACCTAAATAAATGGTCTCACACAACAGATGATCCACAGCTATAAATCACTTTAATCACAGCTTTAATCCTGGAACAGATGACTGGCGCTGATCAACAGAAAGGACTGACTGTTCTGTGCACATAAATATCTAGAAGATGGTCAGTGGCTCTTTTTCATGTCCCTTTCTCCTCCCTTTAATCATAGATCATACTGTATAACATCACACACATACACCTATCTCTGGACACAAATCACCATAATAAAGAGACATTTACAGTAAATGCACAAAAAGAGAGCTGGTAATAACCATAAAGCTGAGGTTGTACAGAATGTACAGGTCTGTTCAGAGGAATGTTAAAAGGCTGGAGGAGATGAGAGTGTGCACAGAGACATACAGAAGAGGATTTATAGAGCTCACATTTAAATGCAGTACATGTGAGACACAACCTGACTGGACTGAATATGCTCTTTTGATTTGTGCTTAAATATACTTACTGATACATATTTTATTTTGCGAACCCACCTTTTTGACTCCCACTGTATGTCCCTACAGCTTTCTCTGCGTGTGCGTGTGAAAGTGTGTACAGTATTTGACCTTCATACCTTCATTCCAGCATACACCCAACCCATCATTATGACTAACAAACCTCAATAAAATATCCTGTTGGTTCTTTAGCAACACAAAGGAGACATTTTTTAAAGGCTCCTCAGACATTTTCCAACAGAACTGAGAACTGACTGATCTGTGTAACTATTGTTAACTTTATGTGAAGAGGCAGGACAGGACATGGTGGCTTTCTTTTGCTGTGATGTTTTCCAAATGTCACATTCGAATCCCAAGGTGAGTCACACAAGAATATTCATACAGCTCTGGAGAGACACTTAACTTTGAATAAAAAATGACTTCAGTACAGCTATTGGCTACCTTAGAGTAATATTCTTTCTTTGTCCTTACTATATTAAAACAAAATACTTCCATAAAGGCCCTAAGAGGACACTAAAACAGACTGAGTCATGGGAAAATGTTTTCAGTGTCTTTGGTGTAGATATATGGCTGTCACAACCCACAGCAATGACAAAACCATTAACAGAAGGTATCACTAACAGTGCTGGGACCAGCGTCTGAATCAAAGTGCACATGCATATTTCAATTTTAAATGTTTCAAAGTCGGTAAGACCAAACCACAAGTGGATCAAGATATTTTATCATCGCCATGCTAACATGCTCAAAATAACCCTGCTAACATGCTGATGTTAGTCATATCTCATGTTTATACCATGTACACCATCTTAGTTTAGTTTCGCTAATAATTAGCAATAAACACAAAGTGCAGCTGAGGCTGTCGGGGTTGTCGTTGTAGCTGTAGTTTTGCAAGTATTTAATTATTAATAAAAATTTTGGACAAATATTGTTTTTGACTGGATGGTGGTGCTAGATGAAGCCAGTGGATCACCAAAGGTATTACAAATCATCCTGAGGAAAACATGAATGTGCGCACCAAAGCTCATGGTCATTTTTTCCTTGAACTGCTCAAGCAGTTAATTAATGATAACTGATGCACAGATTGTTGCAGATTAGTTTCCTGTCGACTGAATAATCAATTAATCAACTATTGTTGCAGCTCTATTTTGGACAAAGGAATTCTATTCATATCCAACAATGTACAGCCAAAAGAAACTCCCAACACTGAACTCTTACGCAAGGGAGGTTATTGTACAGGACAAAAATGCAACGATCAGCAGAAATGATATCCAGAGGGATGTCTCTGTATAGCTTTATGGCTTAAACGTGTTTCTGTAGCGCCAACACTCACATTTTGTGTGTGTATGTCCTGAAAGTCATATATCACACATCTCAAATAACCTCAGGTGGGCGAGAGTGGGGAGAAACTCAAAGCAAAATGTAAGAGACAGGAGTCAAACCTCTCCCAGAAAGCCCATATCTTTGGGATCCTGTGCATTTTTGCTGCATGAGCAACGCCCCCCACCCCCCACCCCCCATTCAGCACCATGTGAAACATGACTGTCCAGCTGGAAGAGATCCAGTGCAGAGCGCAAAGAGAGAAATTTAAGGGTTTTTCATCACGTGTACACATGACTCAAAATGTTTCATGCATAAAGACATTTTTTCTCAAAATCATAAAGTGTAAACTATAACAGCAGGCCAGATGTGCAGCAGTAAAATCCATACATCAATGTACACACACACAGTCTCTCCTGCAAAGTCCCCTTTTACCTAGATAACTTCATCCATACAGACTGAGTGAAAGACAAAATTTCCTATCCACTCCGACTTAAACTTTGTTTTCATCCCATATCATCTATAAAGAATACACGACTCATCAGTGACGCTTTCAGACTCTGGCGAGTCAAACAGACATGTTCCTCAGCACGTCTCTCACTTACTGCAGAGTCAGCAGTAATTAAGCACAGCTGGAAGTGTAGTCGACACATCTGCACACTTGATGTCATATGATATGATATGACATCAAGATAATGATGAGTTTGTCCATCAGTCCATCTTTCCACAAGACTTTTCATTGCACGTTGAGACTCTCACTGTAAATGTTTCAGCTGTTTGAACAAACGTACAATGCTGTCAAGACAATCTCACATCTAAACTCACTGTTTTATCCCTTGAGGTTGAGGATCATATATGCCAGTGTGTAATGACAGTGACCAAATAAATGCTTTTCCACTCATCTGGCTCTAAACAAAGAGTTAGTTGGACTACCAACTTCAACAAAAGCATCAGATTTCGTAGTAATCTGATGCTCTAAAACATCTGTGTAACGTCAAAAACCAACAACGTACTGCATCTTGTAAAAACAAAGTCCCTTCCCCAACAGTTCATGTGTAGCAGGATGATTTTGTATGTGTAAAATATGTAAAATATGTAAAATTATCTTTCTTAATATTTACAGAATGACATTTTTTTGTGATGTATGATTGCTTTTATCTCCGTGTTAAAAGGAAGAATATGAAGTGCGCCCTGTGGAACAATTCACTATATTCATCTTAAAAGTAAAAACACCTAATTTATGGTGATAAAACACATAGTAGAGCAACTAAATTCTCTGATGAATCAAGGCTTTAAATCCTGCAAGGTAAAAATACATTTGATCTTCACTCTGTAATGTTTTAAATAAAGATGAAAGTCCAAATAAAATATACTCCTCTGGAGAATGCTTTATCACGATTTCTTCAGAATAAGTTACATTTACCCAAGAACACACACACAATGCACAAGAGACAAACAGGCATAAGGACACACACTGAAGTAATTTCTTTACTGCTCTGTCAGAGAATCTTGTATGATGTGTTTCCAGTGGGCATAATTCCCAACTCAGGTAGAAGTCGAAGCATGAAACATTTATACTGCACACATGCACACACATACTGTGCACGTGTTTGTTATTTTCAATTTCTATCTTTAAGCATTACATATTTGTCTGCCTCTCTCTATGATAAGGCAACATACCCTTCTCAGTTTGATACCTTCTATGGAGATATGGGTCCACTCAATGCCTTTAATGCCTTTTTTAAACTTTTATTAACAATTAACAATAAATGCAGCTTTAAAGTTCTACTGTGTAACATTTAGGGGGATCTTTTGTCAGAAATGGAATATAATATTCATAAGTATGTTTTCATTAGTGTATAATCACCTGCAAATAAAAATTATTGTGATGAGCCGATTTCATCTACAGAGGGAGTGGGTCCTCTTCTACGAGTCCACCATGTTGAACCTCCATGTTTCTACAGTAGCTCAGAACAGACAAACCACTGGCTGTACATAGAGCCTTTTGCCTTTTTTCACAAGTTTCGAGAGCAACGTAGTTCCTCCTAAACACTACAAAGTCTTCTCATTCTCATTTGCAGTTCGTCAAATACAGACAGAAGCAGTGTTCAGTTGGTTCCGATCTGCAACTTAAACACTAGATGCTACTAAATCCAACACACTGATCCTTTAAGTCTAGTTTATCATTTTCCTTCTAACACATAACTGCATTGGAAGTTCAGAGTCCGTTTTTGTCTGTGTCTGTGATTTCTTAGTCATTCAGTATTACACTATGGCAGAAATTAAAACAAGTTGTTTTTCCTTGGATGACACAAGATTTCTCACAGATTTTACAGCTCAGTCGCTATTTGATCTACAGACTTCAATGTGGTATCAATTCAAAGTTTAGAGTCTGGTTTCCCTGCTTGTTTCTGTGTTTTGAGTTATGAGACACATCTGTCGTTCTATGCTTTCAATTCAAAGTTTTAACAAATTTTTTAAATTATGCCTACGAAGATAATGGTTGAACAGGGTGGTTTCTCTTTCCAGGAAATTGATCTTATTGTCAGTGGAGACAGGAGGGTAGAAATAAATATGTTGGCCATTGTGAAAGAAGAGAAGAGTAGCTTCTATACAAGGATGAAACACTGTGTTTCATTGATTGAAAGTTTCAACCCTGTTGTACCTAAATGATTGACCCTGTGTACTGACGGACCCCGGAGTACACGTCTACATCAGAGGTTCTTCACAACCAAAGTAAAGCTGTTGAAAAAGGTAAAAATAAAAAAATACAGAACTATTACATCTAATAAAGCCACAGAAGTACATTTTTAAAATGCTGCATGTATTTATCCTGTTAATTCCTTTATTTTTATATTTCATTTCATTGCAATTTTGATGATTTTTCTGTTTTTGTTCAATATAACAATCAAGCTCAAGTACACTTCTGCCTCCCTGTAGCAAGGCGAGGAGTTAAACCAGTTGAATTCAGCAACTTCTTATAAACTCAATAAACTTTTAACAGGTTAAAGCATTATTGTGTTCTTGTGTAGCAGTTTTGCTACTTGTCCCTTTTTTCTCACACAACTCCCCCTCTCTCTGTGCAGCTGTCTGAATGAAAAGGCTGTTCCATCCAGATAACAAGTGAACAAGTGTGCGTTTCAGTAGGTATTTGTGAGATAGAAAACAGACACAATGAAAGAGAGACACAGGCAGACAGAAAGATGGAAGGAGGGGGAGAGGGATGAGAGTGGGAGAAGGGGCAAATCCCAGAATCTCATGAGGAAGTCATTATTTCCACCCCCCTGAAAATACATACACACAACAATATATAGTTGCACACCCACACCAGACAAATGCAAATACAGTGTATACACACAAATATGCGCATGCACACATGGCGAAGGCTGAAAAATAAATAAATAAACAGAGCGAAGCTGGAGAACAATAAACCCATTTAGAAACCCCTGATGTCTGGGTTCCATTCAGACTTCCCTCAGTACACACACACACACACACACACACACACACACACACACACACACACACCTAAACACACACACACACTCTGCATGGGGCAAAAATCAGGAAAGTTTATGTTCTCTGCTTCCTCCCCCTTCCATTACCTCTTTCCCCCCTCTCTCTCTCTTTCTCTCTGTGAGTCACAGGAGCTGCAGTTACATCTGATTACGACACACAGGCTACCTCCAACGACGCATTACTCACTGCCGCTCGCAGGCTGGAGCGCTGCCTTTACATTTCTGTACTTGTGAAGTTTTCACAAGAACGGAAATTTTGAGAAAATTGCCTCACGTTTGAATGTGTTGCATAATTTTTTTTATCAAGTAATCTTGACAATACTATAGGAATATTATAACTATAATCTAATTACCCATTTTTTCAAATTATACTTATTTACTACTTTTTGTTATTTGATTACATGATCCCAATTACAAGTAATCAGTTACTAGCCAACCCTGGTGGTAGTGCCACATGTCAAACAAGCTAACAAATTGCAGATTTGCAGGCCTCTAACATCTTCATGCACAGGTCACAGGTTTGGAGTGTAGTTTGATTAGTGAAACGTACAAATTAACACAAGAAGAAATTGTCTCAAAAATTGAACTTTGCAAATTTAGAGAAATGGGCTCTGGTGGCAACATCGTAGAAAAGAAGTCAGACGGGGCAAGAATCACAAGCAGTTTGATGATCACACAGATCAGAAACGCCTCTTGGCTAAACTGATTTGGAAGTGAAAAGGAAGTCAAATGTAAAAATATCACAGTTTACGGACATCATGGTTCAACTTTGACTTTGACAAAGTTTGAGGGATGAACACTTCAGGCAAGCTCATGTTTGGGTTCACCTAAGTAACAGTGGCTTGCTTACAACCTGATTGCCTGCCTTGTCAGACTTTGCTGTAGCGATGTCACCATAATCCCAAATGTCAGCATTTACAGTGGTGATTTATAATGATTAACCAAAGTTGTAATAAACTGGATTTATGCATTATAGGTAAACAGGGCTGAGGATTAAGGTCTGCACAGTAAATCAATGGAAAGCGCTCATAAGCACTGTATAGCAATACAATTGCGTGTGTGTGTGTGTGTGTGTGTGTGTGTGTGTGTGTGTGTGTGTGTGTTGGTTGAGTACTCTAAACTCCCTGGCCTCCTGCCAAAGGATTGCTCAGCATTTAACGAGACGGAATGAGAGAGAGAGAGAGAGACAGAGAGAGAGAGAGAGAGAGAGAGAGAGAGAGAGAGAGAGAGAGAGAGGTGGGGAGTCATTAGAGAGGAGGGACAAATACTGTATGAGAGAGTGAGGGGTTGAAAAAGAGAGTGGTGGACCTGCAGCGCTGTAGAAAGTGAGACAGACAGAGAGAAGCAGCAGAGACAAACAAACCACACTCAGCCAACCTGACAGTAACCTTCTCTAACAACACACACACACACACACACACACGCATAGACAAGCAGGTAAGAAGAGAAGTGGACCTGCAACTTATCAGACTCACTGATTCATACACTCACTCACACACTCAGCCAGAAGAGCAGCAGCAGCAGCAGCAGCAGCATGTTTCAGTGGAGGCTCCCCAAGGCAGTGTGTGTGCTGTCAGCATGTGTGTGTCTGGTTCTCGCATATGGGGAGGATGATATTGAGGTCAACTACGCCGACACCTACTACAATGAAATCACAGATGGAGACACGCCAGAACGTAAGTGTTAAACTGTGCATGCGTGTGTGTGTGCTGGAAGCAAAGAATTATCTGATTAAGATTCTCAGATGGCCATGGTTGGAATTTAATTAAATTCTGGAGCGTGACATTGATTTCTTGTAGGATTCATGCATGGGGTTGTGTGAGAGGTGAGATGAGGACATTAGCTTCATCATCCCTGACATGCTCCTAAAAAAAGATGCACTAGGCACCAATCACAAATATATAGTACTGTATGGAGGGGTCCAGTTAGCCCCCTCAGAGGTTGTTAGACACAGTTCTGTTCACACTTTTTTCACAATTCTTCAATTTAGTGATTAATTAGTGTGAGATTGCTGATTATGTTGCTGGTGTGCCTATCAGACTGTTCATTTTCATGTTCAATTTGGTAAGTTTTGAGTACTTAGATAATAGATAAAAGTTAAATGGAGAAAGTAAAAAATATAATAAGAAGAAATGAATATTTTCTATAAAAATAGGAACTATACAAGAGCAATCAGCAGCTTTAAATACAATGTTAGACAGAGAAAGAGACAGCACAGTATGTATAGTATACAGACTGTTGGCAGAGACAGAGTTTGTGTATGAGACGAGCAGCATCAAAGAATATGCTGAGCCAGAAAGGCAGAGGGCTTTTTCAGCTGCCGACCGGGACAGACACATATTACAGCATGAATGACTGGCCACCAATTGCAAAAATACACAGTATATGACAGTGAATCTCTTCTCTAGGCTGTTTGGGAAAGGATCATAGTTTGTGAGAGAAAAAAATGTGCTCAAGTGTGTACATGAACGTGTTTGTGTGCGTGCAATGGGCCCCTCACAGCTCGCATTCTGCATTTGTTTGTTGCTTTAAAGCTGGCAGGAGGTATAATTGCAGCACCAACTGTTTACAGGCAGCAAACTCTGGGCACAGCCTGCCATGTGATTAAACCTAACTGAAGGCAAAAAATGAGAGTGGCAGTGAACAGATGCATAAGAGTAGTAAAACACAACCTCATGAAGTGAAGAGAGAACAAAAAAGATTGCCAAAGCAAGAAAAGGCGGGTGCAAGAAGGACAAAGAAATACAAAACATTTCATAATTGGCTTGCTGGACAAAGGAAGGAGAAGTCAAATCATGTGAGCTCAGAATGGTTTTGTATGCAGGTGTGTGAGGAAGGAGAGAGGTCAAAGCCTGGAGGAAGACACAGATCATTGCTCCTGACCTGATAAAATCTCTGAATCTCTGAGTGGAATTTGAATTAATGAGGGAAACATGAAAGAGGTCATGACACACTCCATTTTAAAATTAATGAGTATGGCTAATGGCTAAAAAATGATGGCAGATAAGTAAATGACTGCTGGCAAGAGGAGGGTACAGGTTGTAGTTCACATCTGCCTGCTTGTTGTTGTATTCTGTTTAAAATGAATGTAAGTGTGCAACTGCTACTTAAAACCCTGAAGTTGTGGGTCAACGGGTTGAAAGTCACAAAAGAATCATGCAATGAATTCATTAAAGAACATTAGAAATGATTCAAACAAAACCAAACTGTGATCTGTGGTACACAAGTGGTAACCAGTTCATAATAAAAGATTAGACTTAATAGGTAGGTTAAAACCACCACAAAGGGTCAAGGATCCCAGCTAATTTTGCACTCCACTTACTCCCAGATCCATCAAAATCCTTTATAAACCTCTGACAGTCCTGCTCTTTGAGTTTGGTAAGTCAGAGGGAGCAGAGTGCATGAACCTTCTGCTTAATTTACTTTGAACCATGGAGAGAGGCAGCCAAAACAAATCCTGCAGTCCTGTGATAATGCCCCTCTAGAAGACGTTTGCAGGTGTAAATAGACTTTGAGAGGCTCAAACGTTAATCAGAACAGTGTGTCTGACATATATTCTCACTCCTGGATTGTTTTACTCTCCTGTCTCCGTGTTTCTCTCTATACTGCTGTTATCTTTCCCCTGCTCTCAGGAGGTCTTCCTTTTCCTTTACAGTGTAAAAGAAAAGTTCCTTGCGGTTAATGAGTCAATTGTCCTGTTTCTTTCTCACGTTCTCATCTCTCCCCTAAACAACCTCACTCCCTCTTTTGTCCCCAACTGTGTTGTTCATCTTTTTGGCTAAATAAGACATCTGCATCCTGCAGCAATTACAATTTTTTGCCTTCTCCAGCAGACTTCAACATGTTTTTATTTTTTAGTCTCTCTCCTTACAATTATGGCCTTGATGTTCCTGTCAAAGCTGGAGAGATCATAGTATGTTCAACTCAGCACATCTGATAAAAGATACTTCCTGCTTGCTCTCTCCACACCTGCCCTCGCACCTTTAATCTTTTCAAACTGTGTGGGACAAATTAACTCTTACATTGCTCTTGTTTTTGAAGAGCAGAGTATGATGACATACTGTGTGATGACATAGGATTGTCTAAGGAGTTTAAGTCCAATTAAGTACTTTAAAACACTTTGTGCTCAAGTGCCGCAATTTAAGTAATAATTCATATTCCCTCTCAGTCGTAACAACCAGAAGTCATAACTCAGTCAAATCTTAACACACATATGATACATGTATTTTTAGATTTAGTGTGACTTATACTTTCCGAGTGTATCATTATCTCCAATGTCCACTCTGAATAAATGTTCATAAATGCACTTAGAAATCATAGAAAAAAGACACTCTTTATAACTCCAGAACTTGCTTCAGAATCACATTTTTAAGTTTTCTCCAGTATCAAAGTAATCCAGTAATAGTTGTCTGTGTCTGTTTATCCATGGTTGCATTATAAACATTAACTACTAAGAGCTAAATTGGCATACTTTTAATGGCAGACATTTGCCAAAATACAAATAAATATAGGCTAAAATGTTGTTTGGTGATTGTAGCTGACAGCCGACACTGATTACATAATATCTGCTGATTAAATCTCCCAAAGCATTATGGGAATTATAGATTAAAAAATTAGAGCATGATTATAACGTCAGTAAGAGTAAAAAAAAAAGTAAGACAAGACAATGCTAGAAGTGACAAAATTAGTGTACACAGGGAATGTTAGGAGCAGTTGTCTCAGTTTTGTCTGATAGTGGCCACGCAGACTTTGTTCTACCCCAAAGAAAATCCTCTTCATACACACTGAAACTCTCAATGATCTAATCCTCTGTTTGATATCTTCACTTTTCTTTTTTGTCTCACGTTTGTGTTTTTACCATCCCCGTCTCCAGCCACACTAAGCCCAGCCCCCTGCGGTTCTCCAGACCTGACCAAATGGGACAAAATCTTCTCGATGCTGGAGAACAGTCAGATGAGGGAGAACATGTTGCTTCAGTACGCGGATGACATCATCAAGGTGGAGATGGGGTCACTGCGCGGAGAAATGCTCAGGTTGGTTGGACAAAGGGATCAGGGGTCCTAGTAATTACGGTCTCAAAGGAGATTCAATTAGCCAAAAATGTGAATTGAGAAACTCAGTCACAAAATTAAAAGTTCCCAATACAGTTTCAGTGTTTTAGTGTGAAACTGCTCTCAAAAATGTTATTCATCTGTTGACTTTGTGGAGGTTTTTATAGTACCCCGAGTTGGTGCCTGTTAAAAGGTAATTCAGAGGTTTACTACACTGGTGATCAAAGTTTACGACCTCAAAGTGCAAATGCTAGTAAATCCTTGATCTAATGAGGCACTTAGGACTTGGGCTGCAACTAATGATTATTTTCATTATCAAATAATTTAACAACCATTTTCTTGATCAACTGATGAATCATTTGGTCTATAAATGGTCTAATGATGGATCACGTTCCCAGAGCCCATGGTGACGTCTTTAAATGTCTTGTGTTATCTGAGTGACAAACTCAAATATTCATTTTACCATCATAGAAGACTAAGAAAACCAGAGTATTCATATATGAGAAATTATTTTTTTCCACTTTCTCCTTAAAAATTTTATTTTGCCGTTTCTGTATCCTGAATTCATCCAGTTCATTTTAATTACAATATTTTTATGAGCGAATTGGGAGCCAAGATTGATTTTCTGGCACAAAATGAGGTCACTGAGGGATGAAGATCTTTAGTTGAAAAGGTGCAGATCTTTCACACTGGTCCTTTTTGTCAGGTTTGTAGCCCAGTATGGTGGCTCCTGTGGGGTTGCAGTGGAAACAGCGGGAAGAAGGATGGCCTTGCAGCTGGAGGGCCGCCTCAGAGAGACCCTGGAGCGCATCAGACCCAGAGATCACACTTCTGCTGCTGCTGCTTCTGGGAGTCCTGTCGGGAATTCAATCCACCTGGAGGCGATGCTACAGCAGCTCCTCTCTGCAGCACGAACACAAGCTTCCCGACTCGCCAAGCTGGAGAGCAGTTGCTTCAGCAGCCAAGGAGTTGGGATGAGGATGAATTCAAAGACAGGATCCCAGCTTACAGAAGGTGGAGGGGCTGGGAACCGGGAGCAAGAGGTCACATCACGAGAGGTGGCTTTAGACGGAGTGCTGGCTGCGCTGCAACAGGCGAGGGTGGGACTGGAGGAGGTGCTGAGGTCATCGAGGCAAAGATACTTACCCGCAGGTGAGATATCTATCTTACCATTAGCAATCTCTGTGTCTGTCATTACCTGTTTCTTTCTGTTTCTTTGTATTTCTCTTCACCTTTCTCAACAGTGGCACCCAGACAACCTTCCACCTTAACATTTTCTTCTGTGTTGACACATTCAGGTCACGCTTCAAGTAAAAGAATGAGACCCCCTTCTGCCTCTGAACGTCCAACAACTAATCATGCAGCTTGTGTTCGTCCTAAATACCTTTTCCACTTCCTCTGTCTGTCTCCAGGCGTGTTGCCCTCCTCAAGTCGCAACCTATCCTTTTCCCTTCACTTACTAACATTAGTCTCAGTTTATAATGTACAGCCAAACGAGAAGAAGACAGACAGCAAGGCGTCAGGTATAGGGTCAGCTGTATAATACTCACTTATTGGCTATTATTTCTGTTTGTTTAAAATTGATTATAAACACATTTTGGTAAGTTATCACACAAGAAAAAGCCCAGAAACAGTGGGACACAGTCTGAATCTTTGCCTAAGGACTTGTAGATGTCTGAAGATAATAGCAGACAACAATAAATTGATGAAAAGATGGGATAATACAGATCTCTTGCTGGACTGACTGTGAACACAAATTCTCAGATTTAAGCCACTACAGCATGTGGTTTCAGTTAGCAGAGCTGCTGCTCTGGTTTACTCTTCATCCTTGAATTAATCACTGATTAATAACAGTGTAATTTTAGAGATTTAGTGACTATGTGAGTAAGTAAACTTGGACCAAGTTTAGTTGCACAAAGGCACCACACATGTCAGTAAGACAACTTCCTTTCCTTGAATTAATCAAATGAAACCACACACAAAAACAGGATAGGTTATATTACTCATCTAACACACGCACACACACACACACAGGCACACACACCTTTACGGTCCTGAAATGTAAAACTAGCCTACATACAGAGCGGAGGGAGATGTAATCATTAGCTAGTCGCCACAAAAACCACACCAAAGCACCCTGGAAAACCAGAACCAGATGGAAACCATCATGAACACACACACTCAGCCCGTTCAAATGTCTTTTTTTTACCATTATTTTTGAGTGGCAGAAACCTGAGACAAATGTAACATCAATATTTGGTTTTAGTAGGGATGGAGTGTGTCTACTAACTGGGTGGAGAGACAGAAATACAAGGAGTGACGGGAGGAACGGGGGGGGGGGACTGGAACCAAGAGAGAGAAAGGGAGAGAGAACTAGAGACTAATGGAGATCAAAAATGAAAAACTTAAAAGAGAGTGAAGAAGAATGTAAAACAAAGAAATCAGGTTTGGGCAATAAGCAAGAGCTTTCCACACACTGACACAATGACTACTATACATACCTCCGACAGAGGGGACACACACAGTTTCTCTCTGTAATTTAGGCATCAAAAGATCAATCAACAAAAGTAGGTTTCACAATACAGAGTTCACCAGGGACTATATGAGAGAAAGAGTGAGTGATTAAGAAGAGAGAAGAAGGGGAATAATGAATTTAACCAGATGACCCAGAGTGGGAGGTGTGGGTTTGTGTGTATGAGAGTGTGTTGGTGGAGCAGAAAAAAATTATTCATGTCTTTTATTCAAACACACTTCTATATGCAATACTGCCACCTAAATGTACATTTTCAGAACAACATTCAGTGTGGTCACACTGAAGAGAATGCACTGTATGGCTTAACAATATGTGTAAGGACATTTATCCATATGATGCAGCAACAAACTGAACCAATGCAAACAACAAACTTAAGGACATCAAATGTCGGTTGAATAGTAATAACTTCATTATTACAGTCCTGCAAACTACCCTCATTACACCAGACATGGGCACTCTTTTCCTTTTCTGCGAAGCCAAATATAAAAACATCTATATTTGATCCACTGATGTTTAGATCCAGTTTCAATCAACTTGAATCATTTTTGACTAATATAAGTTTTTACTTTAGTTCCCCTGAGACATCTTCATCTCGCATGGTTTACCCAGGTTCTTGCCTCTCTTTACTGGTAGTGGAGTGCATGCCTTTTTTTTGCTTTCAACGTCATGCATTGTAGTTCTGTTTGTCACTTTCTCTGTAAAGTTCTTTAGTTCAACTGTGTTGAGTTAAAGATGCCATATACATAAAAGCTGATCTGACATCTGCACAAGGACAGGGTTGAATTACCAGCAATGTATTAATACCTGTAGACTACTATTATCCTTATCCATATAACTGAGTACACATTTCAAAATCTTTTTTTGACACTGATGAATAATAAAGATAAAAAAGAGAATGTCATCAGGCCATGTAACAAATCTAAATAATTGAGATACTACAGTGCTTATAACAATGTAAAAGGCAACCTAACGTTGCATATGAAATGATGATTTTTGTGACAATGAACACTATCACATCTTGTTGTTGTTTAGGTTGTGAGATGGCGCTCCTCTTTCCCATGCGTTCCCGCCGAATCTACACCTCCGTCACACCCGATGTCCCTCTCTCCCTCTCTTCCTTCACTGTCTGTATGTGGGTGAAGCCGACCGCTGTCTCCAACAGAACCGTGCTGTTCTCCTACGGAAACCGCCGCAACCCGTATGAGATCCAGCTGTTGCTCAGTCAAACCTCTGCGCTCTTCACCATCGGAGGAGAGGCACACCTGGTGGAGGCACGGGGCGTGTTGAACCCAGGAGGCACGTCAGAGTGGATCCACATGTGTGGGGCTTGGTCATCTGACCAGGGCCTTGCGTCCCTGTGGGCAGGCGGGAGAAAGGTGGCCTCCACACCCGGAGTGGCTGAGGGACACGTCTTACCCGACGGAGGCTCACTCCAGCTGGGGCAGGAAAGGAACGGCTGCTGCCCTCAGTCTCCGAGCAGCGAGAGTGGGGTGCCAGGGTTTGAGGGAGGGTTCGATCCCAAGCAGGCGTTCGCAGGGAAGATGACAGGGGTGAACATGTGGGACAGGGTGCTGTCAGAGGAGGAGATTTCCCAGCTGGCTTTGCGGGAAGGCCAGGGCTGCGAGCAGCGGGGGAACATGGTGGCATGGGGAGTGACGGAGATGGTGCCACACGGAGGTGCTCAGTTCATCAACTAACAGTTTCTTCCGCTTTGTGGTGGAAATTGTCATCATCATCATCATTATCATCATCATCATCATCATCATCATCATCATCGTGAATATCAGCAACATCGTAATAAGCTTTCATGCTAAAACCGGAGAGAACAACTTACATTTTATCATCATCATTGTGTCTCTATAGTTAATTATTACATTATTATCAAAACTTCCATCATCCACATTGCTAATATCATGAACACTAAAGCTGCAATGAACTTTACTGCGCACGTTCAAATGAGAGAAAGCCAACGCTGTGAGAGACTGTAGTTTATTTTTGTGACATAACTTTTTGAACTGCGGCCATAACACACACACACACACACACACACACACACACACACACACACACACACACACACACACACACACACACACACACACACACACCGCACATTCAGTATTCAGTATAGAAAACTTACTGTATTGTAGCAGGACAAATGCTGCAAGCGGCATTTACCAAAGACTTAATTAGACTGCAAGAAAGACAAAAAGTCTATTGTCAAAGTGAACGGGTTCTGAGCCAGCAAACAGAGTAATCACCAGACAGCCATGCAGGAAAGGGAAATAAGAGGTCACAGACAATTACAAGACCTTATCTTGTAACTGTAGAGTGATTTTTGTTTTAGAGCAGTAATGCATTTTCTCTCTTTCTATCTAGATTTGTACAGAAATGGCAAGTGCAGTTAATCGATTATCAATACAAAGCCTGTTTAACATTAAAAGAATTAAATATTTGCTTTTCTTCCTTTGTAGTCTTGTAGGTACAATGAATATTGACTGTCATCTATCCCCATTACAACTGAAAGCAGAGGTACCATACTAATGTGTTAATAATGTGTTGTAATATAATGTACAACACATGATGTATGAAATACCTGTGTGACTGAAAACTGCTGTACTTGCTTTCATTTCAAGCATTGCCAACTAGCAATTTTTTTAGCGACTTATTATTTTAGTCTCATAATTTTCGTGGATTTGTGAAAGCTTTTAAAGCATTTCAAGAACTTACATTTCCAAACTTATAGTTATCAAAGTGTTTACATTCATATGAGTTATATAATTCCAGTTCTGCTTTGTTAGTTTTTTTGTCAGTAGTTCTCATTTAATATTAGGTTAATAAATGTGTCTTTTTTTGATACTGCATAAAGTAATAAGAGTAAAACTGTTACTTTGTAATGTGAGATTGACATTGTTTTTTTTTTTATTTTAGAAAAGAAACTGAGGACAATGTTTACACAATCTAATCTTCTATGAACTAAGTTGTCTTGTATTATACTGTAAATTGCTTGTGTTGTTCTTGTGAAAAAGTGAAACTGAATGTATTTTGTACATAAATATATTTTGCATAACATGACTGGATGAATGGAAAGTGAGGTAAGAATAAACATTTTGAGTTATAGTGTATTCCCAGTGTTCTGTAATTTCAAAATCTCATCAACTATCCGACTATTAGGTCTGCTTATGGCTTCTAGATACACTCAGTAAACCGAGTGCACTTGAGAGCTTTTAGGCTTCATGCTCACAGATGGCTGAAGAACTACCATGCATGCTCATTAAGAGCCATTTAGGGTTCAGGGTCTTGCTCAGGCACATTCAGACATGTGGACAGGAAACTGAACCACTAAACCTCCAGCTAGTGGACCATGAGTGCTCTACCATCTGACCCCTGGCATTCCCCCTTATCCAAAGGTTAGATTTTTCCTGCTCACAACTTTTCACCTTGAATCAACCTCTTAAAGGACGGGTGTGTATTTGATGACCTGGGAACGTGGGATGTGAAATGTGTGGCCATGAAACTCGCAGAAAACATGAAAGGCCCGACATACAGCCAGTGTTACTGGTAGGTTACTGTAGAAACATATTGGTTCAACATAAATTCCACGGAAAGCTACCCATAGCATCTGTAGATAAAAAAGATTCATTCTAAGGTAACAAAAACACAACAATTGTTATATTAAGATGATTATACACCAATGAAAACATACCAATGAATATTATATTCTATTTCTGCCAATAGATCCTCCAAAATGTTACACACGGGACCTTCAATTTCCTGTAATTTTTGCCAAAGACATCTGCTGATAGTGTTTGGAAGAATTAGGTGTTTGCTTGTTTAAAGACAATTTAATTAAAAAGAGTCATACGCCAAAGATAACATTGTACCTACACTGCCAATATATGATGGCTAACATTTAAATTATCATCACAAAGCTCACAGCAGTAACAAGAGTTCAACTGCTGACACAGCATTGTCTGTTGATCAACATACAGAGCAGGTAATTCAAAGTGCTTTACAAGGCAAAATAAAATGGCTTTTCTCTATTAGCTTTGCCTGTCTCATCTTATTATCTGTTCACAAAGAATTGGTTGGATTTACATTTAAAATAAAAAGTTATCACAATGTCTACATAAATCATGAAACAGGAAAAGGTTCAAATTCTCATGATAGTAAAAAATGCAAAGTTTGAATTGCACAAATGATGATATACAACACATCAAATATAAATTCAACACATGTCATGAATATAGATAGTTTTTTGCTGCTCACATATGCTTACAGTTTACTGGGCCCATTAGCTTACAGGCCCATTAGTGAAATATAACAAGTTTCTCCCGCAGCGACAACCTCTGCACAGTCTCTCACTGTTTCTGTAACTGTGACCTGTTACAAAATGGAAACACCACCTTTCACATTCAGGAACCTACTCGCCCCAAACTTTCCTCACTCTGCCTTCTCTTAACCTTACAGGCCAGAGTACAGTCACTACACATGTTTTGCAGCAAGGGAAGCAAAAGAGACATATAACTTTGACAGATGACACATTCCAAACTTAAGTGTTAACTCAAGATCAGGTTTTACTTAAAGAAGGAAGGAACTCTAGGCTCTAAAATCCCTATGGGGCCAAAGCAATGCCACATGTTTCTGTGTGCATGTACTGGTTACTGTAGCACGCTATAAAAAAAAACCCTTTCTGCATCCTGCTGCTGACTTCCTGTAACTATAAACACACACACACATCCCCATAAAGCTCACAATACACTGAACTGAAAGATATAAGATAGAAATATAACAAAGTACAAAATACACCCAATTAATGTGCCAACACATTGTCTTCCAAAAAACATAGAACATTGGAGAGAATTAGTGTATCTCAGGCTTCAGCAACAAACCTTCAGCATAAACACACATACACACACAGTCCATCCCTCCTGCAAGCTCGTGCAGCCAACCCATAACACCCCCATCATCAACATCACCCAAACCCCTATTACATCAGCTCACTTCCTGAAGAAAGGGCTGCTGGGAAAAAAAAGAGAGGTCATCTGTTATTGCTTCGATGAGCCACGCGTGTGTGTGCAGTTGGGCTTCGCTCATGTGTTTGCAGTCTTGTGTTTATGTTGTGTTGTGTTTATGTTGAGGTTTCAGAGGGGAGGAGAGAAGTAGGGGCTTGTTAAACAGGCAACATGAGGTTGAAATGTTCAGAGAGGCGTAGAGGAGCCTCAGCAGTGGGTTGCAGCAGGGGGTAACTTTGAAACTGCCTAGGCTGCATTAAAAACTGCCCAAGGAAACATGAATCTGAACTCGCTATAATAAAGCCCTCCAGGAAGCCTTGTTCACTTTCATCCTCTCTCTCAGTATGTGTGTGTGTGTGTGTGTGTGTGTGTGTGTGTGTGTGTGTGTGTGTTTTCGAGCTTTAATAAGGCCCACCATCAGTTCATCACCCCCTGTCAAGCTGGATCACAGCCACTGGAAGCTTTAGTGTGTATTTGCATATAACTTTTTATCTCCCCTATCTTTTCCTCCTCTTTCTTCTCTCTTTTTTTATTCCCCATTCTCTCTCAGCTCACAAACAAGGCCAGGTTTCACCGTGCATTAGTGTACGCGAGTGTCCCCAGTGTGATATTATGTGATGGCTTTGGGGGACTTCTAACAGTATTGGAAAGAAATCTCAGGTCAAAGTTTTGAAACAAACATTATGACTGTATCTCCCCTGAGCAGCTGACAATCAGGAATTTGATACGTCAATGTGGACTACAAAGAGTAAATGTTAAAATGACACACTGATACAATCAGTGTGGGACTTCTTTATTTGCGTCTCTATTCTACCAAATGAACTGAGTTTGACTTTGGCGTAATGCCGAATTGATGTGTGAGTAATATGCAACACTACAGATGTTATTCTGTGCTTAAACAGTCAAACTGTCAAAAGTCAACTGTGCAGCTAAACATGATAACCATGCTAATCAAAATATTTATTACGTATTACCTTACACGGATGGAGAAAAAAAAGTTTAGCCAGAAAAAAAAGGGTTTCTTGCTAGAAAACACAAAAAGTCAGCGAGTTCTGCAGCTGTAAAATATGTATTTGTAGCTGGGAGTTTATTGCTCGCCGCTATTCTAACCTTTGTCTAATACAGGGCTGCATCATATGGTAAAACATCACATTGTGATTATTTTGACAGATATTTAAAATGCGATATGATTCTCGATTAGTGTGGGAATGATCATCTTTGCATCACCCATTACATTTTCACGGGAAAAACTATTAAAATCATGATGATGTGAAATTTGTTGCGGTCTTTTAAATCAAGATTTGTAGACCAACCAGGGCATATCTGCAGCACTACTTCATTAGATTTTTATCACACATTTGACCTTTATCAAAAGATTCCAGCTTTCTGAGATTTTCTTCTTGCACTTAGCCATATTTGGATTATGATAATATCGCGATTAATTGTGCAGCCCAGGCAAAAAGGTGAAGACCTGGAGATGCTGTGGGACAAACTCTATCAGCAATAAACACGGTGGAGTGTAATAGTTTGCCAATTAGGTAAATGTGCTCCCCAAACTAATCCTTTTTTGTTTTAGTAATTTCTCAAAGGTGACAGTCATTCAACCGAATGGTGTGTGTGACATGTTACTTCTTCACGTCCGTTCATAATACAAGCAAAACGCAGACCTATTTGTAAAATCATTGGTGCACAGGTCAAATACTTCACAGTGTACCCTCAATGGAACAATATTATAAAAAAGCAATAACATTAGCTGATTTGTTGTTGTAATGACTTTGTATTACTGGAGATAAACTGTGGAGTCTTTAGCAGCAATTTAAGGAACAGCATTTAGATGTATTTAGACATTAAGCCACGATGACTGTTGCTTGTTTTAAACACAGAAACCAAATGAAAAACTAGTCTCTTTACTTTCATATTGCTACTCTAATGAGACAAAAAGCACCTGATTCCTGTTTTCCCACTGGCAGGGACCACTTGCTATCTCTATTTTCACCAACAGTTTCATGAATCAAAGGTGTAAAGTGTCTTCCAACTATCTGACGCTCTAAGCTGAAACCCTGGCTAAACTTGTAAAATAAAGCAGACAACAGAGAGCTAAGCTGTTTCATGTGCTGAGCTGCTGGCAGAAAATGTGCTCAGTGGGAGCATCACCATGGTGGGCAACTCACTCTGGTGCTGCATGAGGTGATTAGCACCACGTGCTTGTGTGTGTGTGTGTGTGTGTGTGTGTGGTGTGTGTGTGTGTGTAGGTGTGTGTGTGTGTGTGTGTGTGTGTGTGTTTGTGAGGTGTTAGTTCAGCACGTTGCCAAAAGCACCAAATGATTCACAGAGAAAAACACACCTGCACATGTAAATGCAGAAGAGCCTCACAAAATCATGTTCACACAATGTGCGACTCAATTACTTGTATAGAAAGTGAGGTGTTCTCTATTAACTGAACCCCTGCACAGCAGTATGTTTGTGTGTGTGTGTGTGTGTGTGTGTGTGTGTGTGTGTGTGTGTGTGTGTGTGTGTGGCGCGTGTGTGAAGGCCTGAGGGGTAAACAGATCTCCATCAGGCAGTGCTAACTACAGCCATTTAGACACCTTCACTACACTAATGAGCTTGAAAAGCATCTGTGTTGAAAAAAGGGGTTAAAGGGCATGAAAAAAGGTTTCAGGGAATAGCTGTCTTTAACCACTGACCAGAGGTCAGCTGGGTTCCCCTCTCTGACCTCAAATGTTAAGAAGGGAAGTTGTTGAACATAGAGATTTTCACATTAAACTTCTGGAAGATTTTCAGAGCCCATTAGTTCTGCTTTTAGAGGACACGTGCACTTCCACACACTTCGTATTTGATTTCATATTATTTGGTTTTTGGGAAAACACATTTTATTTTCTTTAATTCTTACAGTTGAATTTCTTGTGGGGCAAAACGCACAAATGGCCTATCATCTGTGTAAACTGAAAAATCTTTACATAGAAGTATGGCAAATTAATGAAAGCAGTGAACCTGTTTTATATGTTTTAAACAAAAATTGAAGTGGAGAATATGTTTATGTAACATTAAAACAGACAAAGACAAACGGCTGTTGCCCTTTTCTCTCCCCAATAACTACCTCTTGCGTATGAGTTTCCATGCAGAGGGCCATCAGGGAAATTAGATTTGCAACAGCTGTTATTTACCATCATTAATATCCTCAATGAGCTGGCAATCATTACAACATTATTCACTATGGCTACTACAACGGCTGATTACAACAGTAATCCATTTTTCTACTCCAGTAAACAAGCTGATCCCATTGTTGCAGATCTGCTACCCTCACAGTAAGAGCATACAAGTGCTAAAACCACATGTCAACCATTAACAACTAAATAAATACAATAACCCTTGTTAGAGAATCATTTCAATGTTCATTCTTAAGCAGAGCTTTCCTGCAAATCTCCTTCTGTGACTCTCTTTTTTTTATAGTCTCTGCAAAAGGCACACGCCCACACACACATTTCCCTAAGTGTGTAAGAAGATCTGTATGTGTGCACGGCAGCAGAAACTAAGGAAACGACTACATAGCATTGGATTTGAAAGAGTAAAGGAAGGCAGGAGAACACTTAAACCATATTTATAGAGAAAGAGTCAGACGGAGTGCAGTTTGAAAGTTTGCACACAGAAACAAAAAACAAAAACTTTCTACCCTTTTTCACAGCAACATCTAGCGGAGCATGGCAGCACAGGGATTAAAACATTTTCATGCAGATCTGTGTGCATGTATGTTAATACACTATCTATGGAAATCTTCATCTGTGTAAACGTGTATGTGTTTCCTACCTCCCAGCACACTGAGTGTTATGGCCTCTGTGTGTTCAGCCAGCAGATCGGACTTGGCAATAGCAGCCAGGGAGAGATAACTGGACATGTTCCTGCTCAGTTCCCTGTTCCCTCTCTGCAGGAACCGCACCGCTACCGGGACGGCCAGCACCATGACTGACGGACAGCTGTAGTTCTGATGGGACAAAAGGAGAGAGGAGGTTTGAGGAGACAGCAACACCTTTTCATATTAACAGTAACTATTTTTCAGCATTTTAAGGGATGAGCCAAATGATATAAAATATAAAAAAATTAAAGATCCCCTCTAGACATGTATGACGACATATATATGGCTTTTAGTATGAAACTGCACACACATCATTTTATGCAGAGTGAAGGTCAAGGGGAAGGACTTAAATAATTGTATCTGTAAAGTGATTTGTGGTAAAAGCGTTTGGTCCTTTAAGCCAGCTCACTGCAGTTCCAGTATTGCTACTGGAGAATCTCTGAACACAGAGCAACTGCATTCACAAACTGAACACTGACAGAAGCAGGGATCTGTTTCACACAGAACCAGCTCTCTCTAGTCCTGGGTTTGCATGGTGATCAGAGAAAATCAAGGTCCTGCCCTTAAAGTCTTGGCCTTTATTTCTTATTATCTACAGTGACCCAGCAGTACAGATGCTTGATCTTTGAAAGCACTGAGAGTATAATGGGAACACTCAACACACTCAGTGAGGCCTAAATATATCCTCACTACTGTCAGCTATGCACCAAATACATTTTGGACCATCTGGGACAAAAAGCAGCAGCTATGAGTTGTGTTGTGTTTGAGGATGCAGATCAATGCAGAAGTTTGTCCCTGTGAACATTCACAGAAGGAAGAATGAGGAAGGGGATTTTAAATACACTAGCACCCTCAACAGGACAGACTGAGACCAAGTGTGTGTGTGTGTGTGTGTGTGTGTGTGTGTGTGTGTACTGCTGCTGCTCCAGGCTACTGTCCCTCTAGAGAAGGTGGAGGAAACAAAGGAGACTCCCTCTGATTTTAAGCATTTTAGAGACAGGAAAGGAAAGAAAAGTAAAGGAAAAATGTATATTCACATTTTTAAGACCACCAGCAGTGATTACATCAATTATATTTGCTCTTAAAACAAAAATCCACTGTTGGATATGTTTCTTGATGTATAATTAATCAGCAGTCTTCACTGCACTCCTTGGATGTTATAAATTCTCCTCTGTGTAACCAGTTTCAAACTCTACCTTCCTCATCTACTTCTACCTCAGAAATACCCAGAATGCCTTTCAACATCATGTTTACTGTTGATGTTGCAGAGAGCTGGAAAAATAGTAGTCTTTCTCTCTCAGTCTGCCACAACTCTATTCTGCCACAGGAGGGCAGTGTCCACAAAAACTTCATTACTCCACCAATCGAGACGCTCCATCAGACTGTCTATCGGTCAATCTACATTACATTTATTTAACAGGCACTAATTTACAGTACATTTTTAACTTGCAAATGAATGTACAGATGTTTTTATCTGTCCTGTCTCTCTCTCTCTTTAGGTAGAGTCACTTTAACATAAGGCACAGGACAGATCAATCAGCCCATATAAGGAAAAAAACACTGAAGATGCCCTCATAAGAAATCCGTGGGCATATACACTACATGTGTGTTTGTTGTGCACAAGCAGCGTGCAAATGAAAACCCCTCTTCCTATTGTCTGTTGCTTACTTCGCTCATCCTCTCTGTGGGAGAGTCAGTGGAAGGGTAAGAGATGCGTTTGTGCATCTGTAGATTCAAAATGACAGGAAGACAAAGAGAGTAGAAGAGAGTAGAAGAGAGCAGAGAGGAGATGAAGGTATTGGAGGGTAAGAGAAGGTAAGAAAAGAGCAAGTAAGGCAGGGAAGATAGGCAGAATGAAATCAATCGAGAAACAGATTGAGAGAGAGACAAAGAAACAGCGACTGACAGAAGAAAGAGAGAAGTGCTCTGATAACTGCTTGAGTTAGGACATTAGAGCCTGGAGCAGCTGCTGTCAGAACTTTTAGTCTCACCTCTTTGAGTGTGTGTGTGTGTGTGTGTGTGTGTGTGTGTGCGCGTGCGCACCTTTCATCAAGAACTACCCTCTCTACGATGGTATTAAGCACATTCCCATTCCCACAAGAAATGGAGGGAGGGAGAGAGTCCCTTTGCTTTTAAGCCTTTTTGCTGTGGAGGTCTGATGTGGATTTACATTTACATTTTAAGGACCAATGAAGTATATTTGCTCTCAAAGTAAAAATCTACCTTTGATATGTTGCATGATGGATGTTAGAATTTATACTTGTGTACCCAACCTTCTTCATCTTCTTTTTTTTACCCAGAAAGCCTTTTAACCTGATGTTTACGCTTTAAGATAGTTGAACATTTCCAGCTTATGATCTGCAGCATTACTGTAAGTAAAAAATACCACCAAACAATAAAATGGTCCCAGAAAAACAAATTGCTTTGACAGTATTTTTGTGTTAAGAGTTGGTTTAGGGGTCAGGAACCCTCAAAGGCATCTTATATTTAGATCATTTTCTGAAATTATTTTTTTTGCTGAGGTAATGGAAAGTTCCAACGTACAACCTTTGTTTTACAGATGAGATTCAGATTCAGAGACTCACTCACTTTGCATTATAAATAATTTTGATATTTTGTTTACATTTATCTAATAAGACATTTTAACACAATACTTTTATTTGTAATAAAGTATATTCATGTACTGCAATATATACACCGATCAGTCATAACATTATGAGCACTGACTGGTGAAGTGAATAACACTGATTATCTGGTTATCATGGGACCTGACAGTGTATGGGATATAGTAGGCAGCAAATGAACATTTTGTCCTCAAGTTGATGTGTTAGTAGCAGGAAAAATTGGTTAAGTATTGGTTATGATAACACATCTAAAATGCTCTGCATATCACATTGGCTGCTGTTTTAATCAAACATGCATACATTTCCAAAGTGTTGAAGGTGTATGCTGTATGTGCAGTTTGTGCTTCAGGGAAAATAAATAACGAAGTACTTATCTCAGGTGTACAACACAACAAAACAATGTCTCCTGTATGTGTATGTGTGTGTGTGTGTGTGTGTGTGTGTGTGTGTGTGTGTGTGTGTGTGTGTGTGTGTGTGTGTTTGTGTTTGTGTTTGTGTACCTGCAGGATACAGCTGGTGATGTCGGAGGCTATCTTGGCGTGCGGTGTGTCCTCTGTGTTTTCACCTTGCGGGGTGAGATTATGTTCCAGACACGACTCCCACAGCCCCACCAGCGCCGTGCTGTGCTGCTCGATGGAGCCCGTTTCCCTTATGGCCGTGGTGATGCGCGTTATGCAAATCTCCACCACAGCCTGGTCATTGTCATTGGTCAAATAGTCCTGTCAGCCAGTAGACAGTAAGAGGATGCAAAATGAAGGACACAATGATAAATGAAGGAAAAACAGATGAATTATGGATGAGAACATGAATAATACATTCAACATTATCCCTGTAATATTTTGGATAAATATAAACTACAAGTGTTGGTTCCGCCTACTGACCGGTGAGCAGGAGATGGCCTTGATCTGGTCCAGAGCCTGAGACAGACAGTCTTCAATCTCTGCGTCCTCCAGAGAAAACAGATCCCCCGCTCTGGATAGATCCCTCTGCCCCAGCACCTGACTGAACAGCTGGTGCATCCTGGTCCTGGTTTAGGGCTCCTCTCAGACCAGTTTGGGACTGGTGTTTCCCAGTTTAAGATACCCTAATTGAGAATGAATATATCCCTGACATAATGATCAAGGAAAGCAAACTTCTGAATAATGGTTTCCTTTTGGTTTAAGGGATGTATAGAAAGTCCTCTGCATTGGAGACCCAACAGAGTAGAAAGTAATACCTTCTAAAAATAACATCAACTTAAATTTTCAGGCAATATTTTAGGCATTCTGGGTCCGGTGAACGCAGTCTAACTGGTGAAATTACTAAAATAATTAATAGAGAACATTACAAACATATAAAGAGTTATTAAATGTCTAAATTCTTGTTAAAAACCTCTTCAGTGCAGTCCAGGATCAGGTAGGTTGGACAAGAGTGGACGAGTCTGGCCCAATGTTTTTCTGGGTCTGCCTGAGGTCTGTTACCATGGAGACAAGGCATATTCTGGAGAAGGCAGTCTTTCTACAGTGGAGGAGCTACAGCTGAAGAGGAAGAGAGGGGGGAAAGAGAAAGAGAGGAAGATTAAATTAACTAAAGAGAGCCAAAATGCTGGGATGTTCACTGTGTATACAAAATAACATTCTGACAAGAAATAGATTGAGCAGCTGAGACTGAGACGATCAACTCTGAGCCAGTAAGATAAGCTGTGGAGGTTTAATTAGGGATTTGTTAGAGATTTTTGGTCTCAAGAAACAGACTTGGACAACTTGAACAGACTTACAGAAGTGGAAGGGAGTCAATATTAAAGGATTTGTTCAACATTTTGGGAAATATACCTGTATAACTTCCCAAGAGTTGGACTCATATCTTAGTAAAATATGTTAGTTAAATAACAAATCAGTTAAATATGAAGCTACCATCAGTTAGCTTAGCTTAGCATAGCATACAGAGTGGAGACCAGGGGACACAGCTATCCTGGCTCTGTCCGCATCGTGGCCGGTAGGAATAACTTCTAGGTATATTGTTGTCACTGTAATGTTGCCAGGCGAGCAGTGGTCACATAACCCCCTGTAAAACCATAACTTACTATTTTCACATTTCAGTTTTTGTACCGATTAAACAAATTAAATGTAATGTGTCAATTAGTGTGTTTCAGGTATATTTCAGTACCATCAAACAAAGCCAGGCTACCGGTTTCCCTCTGTTTCCAGTCTTTATGCTAAGCTAGCTAACTGGCTGCTGTGACCGTAGTAGATTCATATTTAACAAAGAGACATGAGGGTGGTATCAATCCTCTCATTTAACTCTCAGCAAGAAATAAATAAGCATATATCCCAAAATGTTATACTATTGCTGGTGGTGCTTTGCTGTCAAACAGAAGTCATGTGCCAATGATATTCAAAAGCAACAACAGAAGTAACTAAAAAATATCTGCTCACGCAATATACCCAACAGTTTGAAGCTTCATTCATAATGTTGTACTCTCTATAAAAACGTTATGACCAGGTTACGTTGCTGTCTCTGTCCCTCTCTGTCTGTGTCATGGATGCATAAAGAACGACACAATCACACACAGGATGAAGTTTGTGCTTCACAGAAAGTCCTGCAAAGCTAGACCTACCCGCACTGTCAAGCAGAGGTGTGGCCCTCTTTATTTGTGCTTTAGAATGTAACCGCCATGAAACGATCAGAAAATAGCATTTTATCTCTCTGATTCACTGCCTTGTTCTTGCTAACGCTGCTTCTTCTCAGCAGTCACTCTATAGCTCGCCTGACCACCGCAGTGATAAATCCTACTCCGTCTCATTCGTTACAAATTGAGGATTTTGTTCAAGGGTTTTTTTTAGGGTGATGATGTCATATAATATGATGACAGACATCGAAGCTTCATACAAAAACCTCAACAGAAGCTTTGAATGTAAAAAAAAAATGGATATTCGATACAGCCCTGTGCTCAATCACTCCTCTACTGTCCTTCTCCCTCGTCAGTCCCTCTGCCTTTTATAATCCTTTTCTCTCCTTCTGTTTTCCTCCTCTACAAGTGCAGCAAGTGTAAGTTAATATGTGATGATGTGAACTAAATGACTCCTTGGTAATGTGTGACATCTGCTAGAAAACCTTACATACCTTCCGAAATGCACACACACACACACACACACACACACACACACACACACACACACACACACACACACACACACCTATACATACACACACACCCACACCCACACACACACACACACATATACACACACCCACACACTCACACACATGCATGTACTCTGGGAATGTGTGACTACAGTTCACAGAGCTGTTTGTTTAAACTGTGCACCCTCATTGACTTTTTTAGGAACTGTTGGTGAAGTAATATTCTACACTGTGGTGGATTCAAATTAAACTTGAACATGTTTTGCTTAAACGGCCAAAACAAACAAAAAAAATAATGTATTATCTGTTATATTCTTAATATGCTTTTGTATTTATTACATTATAATACAGTGTTCATAATGGAGAAATAAATCTAATAGTTCAGAATAAACAGTCCTCTGCTACAACGTGTAATGAATGGAGTCAGAGTTGTGGGAACTATGTTAACCATTATCTCTATTTCGGTGAACCTCAATTAAACATTAAAACATTAACTCTACAAGGGGCACCAGAGGAAGTGGAGGGGAGTTTCACAAACACATCTATGTACGACTTCTAAAAGTGTGTTATATGTCTGGCTTCACAAAATGACAAGCATATCTGTCCTCCCACATAAAAACCTTAACACATACGCTCACACACACACTGCTCATTCCTATGCCTTTATAGAAACATTGTGCATGTAATGAAACACACACACACTCTTCAGATTCAGCCATTCAGCTTGTCTGCTGCTGGAAGAGCAGCTAAGCATATGTATCTGTGTCATTGTCTGCTCCCTGCACCCACTTCCGTCTAAAATCAGACGTCATCTTGTCCTCACACCATTTCTCTGAAAGTCACATTGGAGTGAGTCCAAGTCCACAAAGACCGTTATCTCTCCTGCCAAGCTGGTGATGGCAATGGCAAGCTGCCCATTGCCAGGATACCACATCAGGAATTCTTATTGGTCAGAGCCAGGCTGCTGGGACCAAAACAACAAAACAGCCGTAAAACATGGAGCAAAGAGATTTATCTGTCTCACACACACACACATACACAGACACACACACACACACACACACACACACACACACACACACACACACTGGCTGGATGTGTATAACTCACCACTTTTGTACATAGGCTACTATATATTAGAGATGTAATGATACACTCACTCAACTCAAGATTCAATACAATTCAAGATACTGGGTTCACAAAATGACTTTCTCACAATTTTTTAAAAACAAAATGAGAAGGATTGAAAGCGATTGTTTTTTCTCAGACAGAAAGGCTATATATCTGTGCATATTTCCTATTCTTTGTAAAAATGAAACTGTTGTCTTTACGCCATGACACAGCTACTGACACGAGTGACATAGGCTGTCAATCTAGCAAAGTCAAAAGCAGATATTACCCTCTGATTCATTTTTCATCTCTGCTGCTGAATTGTATTCTAACATTTCCCACCCAATCAGTAAAGGGGGGCGACAATGTGGTGTTTACCAAAAAAAATTCAAAAATTCAAAAAGAAAGAAAGATGATAAAGAAACGGGGAGAGAGGTGGAAAAGATCTAGAAAAGAAACAGCAGGAGAAGAAGAGGAATGAGAGTTGGACACACACACTGTGTAAAAGGCAGAGAGCGACAGAGGAGCTGATAGAGACAGAGAAGCAGAGAGAGAGAGAGAGAGAGAGAAAGCCAGAGGTGGATAATGTTTCGATGTCCTGAATTCCCTGTGTAACCTGCAGACAACTCGCATACTGAGCTTCCATTATTCTACCTGAATGCCTCACTAACACTCTCTCTCTCTCTCTCTCTCTCTCTCTCTCTCTCTCTCTGACACACAATTGCACAAACAGCATGCAGCATATACACATGCCATCCCCTCTCTCTCTCTCTGTCTCTCTCTCTCTCTCCTCACTAGTGAACTGTTGTTTATTTACAGTATCCCTTCCTGCTCTCACTGTGTCACAGCCAGTCTGAGTGACTGAGCACCAGGGTCTGTGAGTGTGTATGTGTGTGTGTGTGTGTGTGTGTGTGTGTGTGTGCAAATGCAGAGGAAAAAAGGGGCCTGAGGAATTTCAGTTCTTAAACAATCAGCTAGTTACTATTAATCACCCAGCTACGGCTCAGCAAGCTCAGGAATGCAGCCTTTAAACACACACACAATAAAGGACTGTTGCAGTACCTTGTTTTCACCTGTATAATGTGATACACACTTTAAATGCTTCACAGTTATTCAAACAGCATATCTGAGTTACACTTTTCACTTTATTCTTGTCGGTATGTTGTCTGTCATGCTCCTGCGAGTACTTTGGCGACATAAATTCTTCCAGTGGAATTCGGTTGAATGTAAGGCACCCACATGTTTCAGGAGAGCTGGAGTGGGCCACTGGGTGAGGGGTGACAGAGGGTGCATGCTGGGGGGGCCGGTGAGAGGGTTAGGGCTATGTGAGGACAATGTGACCGAAGGGCCTCTCTCTCTCTCTCTCTCTCTCTCTCTCTCTCTCTCTTTTTCCTCCACCACTGCCATTACTGTCTTCACTCAGCACTCTGAGAGAGAAAACACTGGCTCTTTTGTATGACTTATAAGACAGACCACCCCTCCCTCCCTCTCTCTCTCTCTCTCTCTCTGCTCAGTCGGCCCTAGCCTTCTGTGTAATGTGCACCTGCTCGGCTCGCAAGACATCTCACACACACACACACACACACACACACACACACACACACAAATACTTTAGAAAGAAGCTGAGTGAAAGGGAGAGACAGAAGGGGACTAGAGAGGAAAAAAATCCACATTCCACAGTTTTATCTACATCAGTGGTTCATATGTGAGTAAGAACTAAGAAGCAGAATGTGGAAGAAATATTTCTCTCATCCTTTCCCCTTTCTTTCTTTCTTTCTTTCTTTCTTTCTTTCTTTCTTTCTTTCTGTCGCCTGTCAAATTTACAGAAGTTCCCCAGTCAATTTCTTTATTTCTTTCAGTCTTTATTAATGCACATAATTATTAACCCTGACTGATCTGAACCCTGTTGGGAAGCTGCTTTCAAAAAAACTGTGTTCCTCACTTCACCATTAAGATAAAGAGAAATGTGCCCAACTGGCTGCCATTCTACACCCCTGAAAACACATCTTCAGGACTGATTGTGTTTGCTCTTATTGGGGCTACATGGTTTGGTGTTTTGCTCTTTTGTCACTGTAACAACACTCTAAAGATGTTAATCTTACTTATAATAACTTTGTAATAGCAAATTGGTGTGAGTTCATTTTGACATATGCAGACAAAAGGCACGTTTAAAAATGGCACTAAAATAAACTTACACAGAATAATGAATGAATAATGCAGGAGTACATGCTGGAGTGTGTTAACATTTATAGCACTTGTTTCTGGGTGTTGGGAAAGTTGAAGGGTATCCTGAGAAATAAGGCTTACTTAATTAAATAAAAAACATGAGCCAGTGTGTGCAGTTAAACTCCAAAAAGTCCTATTGTGGCTTCTATACTTTACTTTATTTCCATCCATCAAAAACAACTGGAACTACAACTACTAACTTAGTTATCTAAATAGCCACAGTGAGACATAAACATGCACGGTCTCATTTGATCTGATCTAGGGCTGCAACTGATGATTATTTTATTATTATTGATTAATCTACAAAATAGATTGACCTATATTATTATATATATATATTGCTGATTTTGTTAAATTAAAAGTTTAAAACCACAAATATATTCAGTTTACAGTGATATGAAAACAGAGAAAACCAGCAAATCTTCACACTGAAGAAGCTCGAATCAGGTTATATTTTTGTTTGAAAAATTACTTAATTAATAATTGATTATCGAAATAGTTGGACATTATCTTTCTGTCAGTCAACTACTCAACTAATCCATTTAGTTCTAATCGGCATAACTGTCAAAATGCCTCATGTGCTGGTCCTGAAATAACTTCCTGAGCAAAAATCCACTGTCCATATTAATGGTCTGATAAAAGGCTGGGTGCGTTGATAGTTATTCCCTATAACTGGGCCAATCAGTTATGTAACTGATGCCATGAATTTCATGAATAAGTAAGATGAATAAGTCACAAAGAAGAGATTCCCTTAAGACTTCTTTGGAAATAGGTCTAGACAACTCAGTTAGGACTTCTTGAAAGACAGACTCCTGAGGTTTAGCTTAGGAACATACTGTAGGAGTGTACTGTATTATATATATATGTGTGTGTGTGTGTGTGTGTTTGTGTGTGTGTGTGTGTGTGTGTGTGTGTGTGTGGGAGAAAGGGAAAGTTCTCCATTATTTATGCCCTGCAGTTATGCAGCTGTGGAGCTACGATTGGGAATTACAGTACGACAGGAGCTGGAGAAAATAGCTACTGTAAAACATACTGAAGCCACGAAAAGGTAAAGACAGACAGAATGGGAATGGTGGAAAGACCGAGAGCGGACGTGAATATTTCACGTTCTCTCTGGAGAGCCGTCACTGTGGACGTGATAAGACAATCCATAAGCGGATCAGCTTTATTACTATCACTTAAATGTGGGGTGTAAGAAAATATCGACACGCTTGTTTTGTAAAACTGTATCAATTCTCAAAAACATTGTATTGGCACAACTGTTAGATAGCAGTTTTGTAAATGTAAACTGAGGTCTATGATTTTAGATGTACAGGGACTGTGATGAATACAAAAGTAAGTTTAATGCATATAGTGGTCTTTAATTTATAAAATTATAAAATTGCGATATGTTGCCTTGAATCGTAACCCCCTGTATTTATACGTATTATGAAGCCAAGTTTCTTGCCAATACACAGCCCAACAGGAGTGCTACAGTATGTAGTAATAAATAATGGTGGATAAAAGTTAACTGTCTTGCTCTGTAATACCTTAAGAACAAAAGTTTTTCTTTATAAACTCTCAGCTTTAACCCAAATTTGTCACACAAAAATATCTTTTGGGACCCACCGTGCTGGATTCCAAGGTGAAACTAATTTGAATCTGAGGGGGGAAAAAAGATCCACTTCTAAAAGAAGGTCTATGTAGGCTGATTTGAATTGACTTCACTGTGTGTTTGTCAGATGTGTGCAGGGTTAGTGCCTGTGTGTGTGTGTCTGTGTGTGAGTCTCTGCAGGCATAACTGTGTCAAATGCCAGTGAATCTAAGCTAAAGTGTGGCAGTGGGGGGTTCCTCTTTGCTCTCCAGTTTGGCTCTGCTGCGCTGTGAGACTCAACCACTGAGACGATTTCCATAGCAGGGAAGAGAAGTGCTGGTTGGAATAGTGCATTACCGCCACACTCTGCCAACTAACATCTACGCACATTTTCTTCGCCATTTATTATTCATTACTCCCCGCTGCCTTCCGCAGCCCAAACTCAAGAGTCTCGCCCTGAGAGCTGAACGGAAGCATGTTCTGGTTTCAGCGTACAGGTCTGAACCAGGAGTACGGGCTTAAAGGAATAAATTCAGTGCATTAAACGTTAGGACCTCGTTCTTAATAGCTGCTTTCATATTTCCTCAATGCATGTTTAATATGTTTCTAAGTTTAGAAATCTTTTCATAGCTTGCATCCTCCAGTTTATCTAGGTTTCCTGCTTCCTGAGTGAGCAAGTGGGTTTAATAGGTGATTCAGAATTACTGCTGCTTGCTTGCAATAGGTGCATATCATGGAGGAAACAATGTCTAATACATGAAGCTGGTTCTTAAAAAATGACTTCCTTTTTTTGGTAGCTGAAAATCACCTACATGCCATCAGTACAATGAAAGCAAAGATACAAAGAAATAACTCATAAACACATTCTAGTCATCCTCTAGGAAAACTGAGTGTGTCAACATATGTACCTACTGGGGAACCAAGTCACATGATAAAGCTAATTAAAGACTTGCAATCCAGTGTAAAGCACATGAATATATGCTTTAAAAGATACAATAAAATATGATCATATTTAATTTAGGTCATCACAGTCTGGAGAGAAGCAAGTGAATGAATGTGGTCCTCAGTGTGTGTCCATTTATCTGTCCTGTGACAAACTGGCAGCTTCAACCTGGAACATAGTGAATTTGTCAGGAATGGAGAATGAATGAAAACATGAATGAATACATGGATGTTAAGTTGTAGTAATAACGTATAAAACTAATAGTTCAAGTCCAATGTCCTTCGTCCTGGGACATCAACGTCTGTCTCACAAGTCTGTGACCTTGAGGAGTCCCCCCCTACACACACACACACACACACACACACACACACACACACACCACCCCACCCCTCCTCTCTGTATTCACACACACAAGTGGAGCAACAGTAGATTTCGACTTGGACAGAACATTCAGAGAAAAAATGCACAGACTAAATGTGAGTAATGCGACTGAACTTGCCTTTCAAGCTCCCAGAGCACATTCCACTGTATTTACACCGAAACACCGAGAGAGAGAGAGAGAGAGAGAGAGAGAGAGACTGCATGGAAGTGAAGCAGGTGTAAAATAAGTCTAGAATACCACAATGTTTCCAGCAAAAATAGATAAAAATGTTCACTAATATGCTATATGTGCCTCTCTACACTTTAAATGTTTTATTTCTACAGCCTGAGGTTAGTGTGTGCAGCCTGCAAACACACTGTCAGCATATGCAATAATTAACAAGTATTTAACCATGAATTACATTCAGTGCTCATGGCAACAAACGACGAAAACCCCTCTCCAATCCACCTGCGCGCTGTCCCGAGGATTCCTCGTTGCGTTCCCTGACTAAAAGGTATTTGATGCGTGATTATGGAAGATTATGGCACATCCGTGCTTTGACCGCCGATTTCACCTCATCCAGTCAACTTTCCCGACATCGAGGAATGCGAGTGGCATTCATGCATTCAGCCCGGCAACGCGTTCCTGTCTCTAATGACAGAATGCCATGCAACAAGAAAAAAAAAAACAAGACCTGATTCAGCCCCTTCACACCTACAGCGTCGGACAGCTTACCTGCTCCGTGCAGGACGAGGACGCACAGACACTGGATGAGGAGCTTCGTTCAGTGCCTCCAAACCTCGGTCCAAAGCGGCACATAGCAACACAAATGATCCCCGCACAGCTCCAAGTTCCCCCACAGAGCATGCCTTATATCCATCCTCGTCGGCCACCATTGGAAAGCGCGCCATCGTGCGGCCGACGAGAGCGCGCGGCGCAACAGGTGGATGGAGGCAGGGACAGGTTAGGGTGCTGCCTTCAGGTACAACCGGGAACTATAGTAACTACGATGACTTTTTATGACCTACGCAAGTAGCTCATGCATACTGACTAAGACTGGTTTAACTTTAACTCTTTGCACATGTAGAGTTTAGTTTTTAGTTATACGCTGCTTGAAATATTTTGCACACCATTTTACTGTAAACTGCATACATCAGTGTATATATGTTTCATTAAAGTCTTATTATTTTCTAATATATCTTTATAACATTTTTTATTAACATAATTGTGTGATTATTTATTGTACTTTTACACTTTTTTTGCCCTACATTCCCCTATGCTGCTGTGTCTGACTTAAATTTCTCCCACTGGGCAACAATAAAGGAACATCTTATCCTACTGGTCTTCTCTCAGCTCGTTACAGAGTACCAAAACATCAGGTGTCACTGCAAATTAGATTCTGTACTTTTAGTTGTAAGTCGTTCAAGACTTAATAAACCTGTAACTACAACTACAGTCAGCATCAATTCCTTTTAATGCTGATAAAACATTTAACATTGAACTAACATAAAATGGTACCTGTTGTGGCATCAATACCATGTGAACTGATTTCTAAAATATATTAAACTTGTTGTGACAGGGTCCATTTTGCTCTTGTTTTCACCACCTAACACATTGTGATCTAATCATTCTGGGAGTTTACAAGGAGCTCTTTGGTACCACAGATTGAGAGATGTTGGATGAGGCTTAATGACCACAGTTCAATGTTTGCTTGAATCCCATAATGATACTGCTGACAGCAACTATTTAAATGGGGAGCAGAGGAAAAGATAAAGGCCCTGTTACATTTATTTGTTTGGTCCTACAAAAAGTTCAAAAGTTTAAGTTTGTCTTAAACACATTATATCAGGATAGTAGCTACTAGTGAAAGTAGAAGCACTACTAGCACTAGTAGCAGTAGTATTGTTTAAATAAAAAATTACAATTGTACAAAACAATATGAGGGCTGTACCAGAAAAGAGTTAAGAATATTCTTCAGTCTATTAAAAGTGTTCGCTGGCCTGAATTTATCTTGTTTATGTATTTAGGTCCATATGATCAGTAGGTGGTGCTATTTCTCCAGACATCAGCCAGCGGAAGTGAAGCTAGAACATATGTGAGCGGTTTCCGGCGCGTCAAAGTAATAGAAGTCATGAATTCACCTTTGGCTTCAAAATAGAAGCACATGATTTGACACCTTTCAGTGGTTACTGGTGTGAGGTTAGCACACATCAGCAATTTTAAACCTATATTGAAATATTGGAATTATTAGATTAAACTGAGTAAGTTTGTAAAATAATTGCGATAAAGCGTACTCTACAAGGGCTACATGCATTTCCTCTTAAAACATGGCCTGTATTGTCTTTTACACTCGTACAGGCCGCTGAATACCATACAGACAACATTAAAGGATATCTTCTACCTTGTAAATCTCTATTTTACATTATATATGTAGCTGTTGCCGTGAAGCTTGTGCATAGAGTTACATCCTATTTGTGCAGTCAGTGTATCTGGACCTATGTGTAAATGAGATACACAATAACATTATTTATTACAAACTAATCACGACATATGGTCCTTATTATCCATTTGCTAATCAGTAATTTTCCAAATATAAAAATGTCCTGTCCGTTTGGATATTATTTTGAAAATCCCCACCGGATATTGTGATGCCATTCAGGATGTCTTGACACTTGAGGGACATCAGCGATGGATGACAGCATCAGGAGCTAATCTGTGCTACTCTTCAAAGGCTCAAACAGTGTTTACAGGAGCTGGTGAGGATGTGGGGAAAGTTTACGGAGACCCACAAACACTCTGCAGTCGGTACCGAGTCCGTTTTGTCAGGTGAGCGCTTACTGGAAGATCATTTTAGCCATCTTTGTTTGTTAGCATCCTCATCCTCAAGTCTATGGGAATTCTTCTAAACAATGACAGTGTGTAAAGCTAATGCATATTAAGCTAAAATGAGCCTGTCGGTGTTTATCTGGGAGTAAACAAGGTGTCCTAATTAGATAAACATCACAAATATGGAAACATTTCCCGATATATAAGCGTCATTATTAATTTGGCAGTAACTCTTAAGCAGCCTAACATTCCTCACAGTTTTCGTTGTGGATTTTAATTCATAGTCTGGTTTATTTGTCTCTTGTAGGCTCGTCAAATGTCAGAACAAAATCTCCACACATCCGTTTTATGAGGTAGGTAGGTGTGTCAGACCTGATTTCATCAGGTTTGGGTTTATGTTGCCAGAATAAAACACACATCTACTTACGATTTGGAAGCAGCGCTAGCAGCAGGAGCCAGGAGGTCAGAGCCAGGAGGTCAGAGCCAGGAGGTCAGAGCCTGCAGCCGGCGGACAGAGCCAGCATCTCGCCATGGCCACTGCGCGCTTCCCCGGGAAGAGTGTGGACGTGGCCGCCGCCAACTGGACGGCCCCGGCACTGGGCCGGCCAGTGTGTGTCAACGGGACGCCGTGGATCCTGTACCTGCTGGAGGAGTGTGTGGATAATGTGTGGGAATACTGCAGCGTGGTGATAGGACTCATATCCATGTTCTGCTTTCTGCTGTCCACTTTACCGTAAGTATCAAGTGTTGGATCTTGAGGTGAAACTCAAAGTGTTTGTGATTATCCAAGTTATCTATCTATCTATCTATCTATCTATCTATCTATCTATCTATCTATCTAGGCAGGTCTATGAGGCCTATCGGAACGGCAAAGTGGAGGAAGCCATGTCTTTTGGCTTTCTTTTCTTCCTCTTCAGTGGAGACGTGACCAGCTTTGCAGGCTGCTACCTCACTAGCCAGCTGCCCATTCAGGTGAACACACACACATACTCACACCAACATGAACTGCCTATCCTGTCTCATTTGTAGCTGTTGAGACCTTGGATTGCGTATGTCTGTACTGTGAACTCAGGACGGGTCATTTCCTCTCTTGTCTTTGAAATTGGACGGACAAGCTGAGCTCAGGTCTTTTTTTTCCTGCAGGCATTTTCACATGTATGTGTCTCTATTGTTGTGTTTGAAACTGGAAAATGTTTTATAACTGTTACGTTTTGTCGCCATCTTCAGATAGAAGAACATTTCAATGGCACAAGACTCCTGGGGTTTTGAATCTTAACATGAATTGGTGAATTGAAAATGAACCCTTGCACAGTACTACCAGTCACAATCATTTAAAGCTTGTTCTCATTGTACCTTTTCCTAAGTCATCACTAAACAGTATGAACTTATCTACACATAGCCAACAAATGTTATGAGTGAAGTTGCAAAATCAGATTTTATAACTAAGCTGTGAATGTCTTTTTTTTCCGTGTCCATCTCTCAGGTAGTCACAGTGGTGTTCTACATCTTCACAGACCTGATTCTCATCTCCCAGTTTCTCTACTATAAGATCAAGAACAGCTCCAGCAGAAGTAAGCCCCGACATTATCTCTGCTCTTGAGTTAAAATGGGCTGTGTGAGTCAACCTTATCGCATAACTATGAGGAAGGAAGTTATCCTGCTGTTGGCAAATTAACAGCATGACATCAAAAAGTGAAAGTAAGAACTTGTCAGCTGTAAGACGCTGTCACCTTACTGCCTGTATGAAGAAAATAAGAAACTACAAATCTGGGATCACTGCTCCATATCTCACTAATGCTGAAGAGATCATAAATACTGTAATTAAGAGTGTTTCGTGATAAAAACACTGACAAGTTGTCATTTTCTTGTCTGATAATCACGCTAAGTTACTGTGTAAGATTTCCCACTGGACAGAGTTTCTCCCAGATATACTGAGATTATGTTGATTCCAACCCTCATAATAATGAGTGAGCTTACTAATAGTATATAGTTTATAGTTTTACATTATGATGTAAATATTTGTTCCACAAATGAGATAAATACAACAGGACATTACAGTTCCAGCTGTTTATGAGTGGTTACCACTAAAGCCAAAAGTGCATGACTGGCTAATGATACATCTTACAGCGACGTATCAAAGACAGCACATAGCTTTGTTAGTTTTATTTTATGCAGCATTTGTTACCGGCTACTTTTAATGTCAAACAATAGGTGTAGACACTATGTGTAGACGTCAGCTAATGCAAAGGATTGAAGGACTCTTTGCTTGTGTCTTCACTGTCAGTTCTTTGTGTTGTGTGTTTTTTGCTCTAGAAAGCCCTGTGTTGAAGTGGCTGTGCTTCATGTGGTGTGGTGCTGCTACCTTAGCTCTGCTGGCCTTACCCAAACTCCTCATAGACAATAGTACAACTTTAGACACCCAGGTAGGTAAATTGTGTGAGGTATACTGTATATATTCCCATATATATGTGTGTAGTCATTAGATTTAAGTGTTAATCAAATTTGTGTTGTTATTTGTCCTGTTTATTGAATACACATTAACTCACTTTTGACTGCACATTGTGACTGTACTGTTTCTTGTGTAGGTGCAATATTTTGACCCTTTTCACCCTCTCTCTCTCGCTCTCTGTGTGTCCTCATCGTTGCCAGAGTCCAACTACCTCTAAATCAGTGGAAATCACTGGCTATATATGTGGATACCTGGCATCTGTCTTCTACCTCTGCTCTCGTTTGCCCCAGCTTTATAAAAATGTAAGTGACTATTTGTTGGTGTGATTCATTTGACATGTGGAGTTTGTTTCCCCGTTTTCTCTCTAACGTGGTCTGCATGTGAGCCGTGCCATCCTGACGGGGAGATCTTGGACAGCGTTCTCAGGGTCTGATCCAGGAGGGCCATTTAAAAAAAAACAAAACTGTACTTATTATTCGTCCATTAGTCATAAACGGGTACTGTGTTTGTGTGTTTGATGAGGGAGGTGGGATTTGTGTGTTTGTATATACAGAATGTGTGTTAAAATGAGAACCAGACGTTGGAGACAATGGTGCTGTTGTGCTTGGAGAAACATCCTGGCTCGACTGCAGCTATTAATCACCAGAAGGGGGATCATCTTAGTATGCTGCCAATGCCAGAGAAACTCCTGGGCACACACACACACACACACACACACACACAAACACACCCCCCTGATTATTGTAAATCATGTAAGTCGGACTTGCCCCGTGAAAATTCCTACATGTTCAAACGTGCTTGTTTTTTTGGCAAAAAGCCCAAAACATTTTAACCTTGTCATTCCTAGTGGCAGGTTACTCATCCAGTTTGGTGAAACAAAAAAAAGTGGTAGAGTAGATGATTACCTTCAGTATTACTATGGCAAACACTTGCTTCTTGCCTAGTATTGTTTGAGTCCAGCCCATGTAGTAATCTACAGGGCATTCACATTATGTTGGGTATAAAACTCCATTATTCAGTCAAGGTTAAAAGGTTTCTATGGTTTCACAATATTGGATGGGTGCTCTCGTTCCTGGTCACTTATGATAGGAGCGATGAACTCAGTTAGTGTGTGTATTTCAGCTACACCGACAGAACAGTTCCATGCTCGACACAATACAGTGTTTGTTTGAAGAATGAATTCATTGTTGGTTATCATTCCTTCAGGGGGTTTGTTGGTGGCAATAAAAAGATAGTATGACACCAGCCTTATCGTTTCAGTTTGTTACGGTTGTCTGTCTCTGTTTGGAGCACAAGTTCACCGGAAGCTATGTAATTGTTGTTTGTGAAACTGAAACCTGGCTTGTGGTTAACATATATTACCCAACCTTTTCCTTTTTGTCCTTTATTTTCTATCCATTCTAGTTCCAGCGGCAGTCTACAGAGGGCACCTCTTACCTATTGTTTGCCCTGGCTATGATGGGCAATGGGACATATGGGTTGAGCGTCATCGTGGTCCTGCCTGCTCTGAGGGGCTCCAAACAGACCTTCATCATCAAACATCTGGCCTGGCTCATTGGCAGTCTGGGAGTCCTCATACTTGACTTCTTTGTATCCTTCAGCAATGTAGCAGTGTCGAATACTCGTTCACATCCTAAATGATCCATATCCAGGCATACAGTAAGTATAGCTTATAACATCTCTGCACATACAGTATGTTTTAAATGACAGTCAACATGTTATTTGAGCACTCTTGCTATAGATGTTAACTTATTGTATGTATCACATGATAGGTGCTAATTGTACTAATGAATTGCATTTGGACAGTGCAACTTTATGAAGTGGCAACGGTTGTCTATGTAGTGTTTACATTTACAGTCTTTGGAGGGTTATGTAAGCGCCTTCACAAAAATACTGACTGACATGTTTGAATTACATGCATGCCACGTACTTTAAGTTATATTTTGACATTTTGGAGGAAGTTTGTTAATTCCCTGTCTTGCTGAGAGTTAGATACCGTTGTCTGTAAACTCCAGTTAGCTTAACATAAAGACTGGAAGGTGGGGGTGGGAATAGGGCACTGGCTTTGGTCTGAAGGTACCACCTGGAGGTCCCTCATCTAGTTTTGTACCCTTTGACAGAGCCAGGCTAGCTTCCACTCTTTGTGCTAAGCTGGCTGCCTGGCTGTAGTGTGTAGTGTATTTCCCCTGTTTCTGTATGAGCCTTGACTTTGTCAGGTGACTGCCCAGTTCATCCTGTACAGGAGGAACACCTCTACTAAAAGCAGCACGCTAATCGGCATCCCAGAAGTAGAGCCACTTCTGTGCGAGGAAGTGGAACTGTCGGTGTTATAGGACACAGAGGGGACGACAACATGGACCACTTACACAAGAATGGACTGGTCAGTCTGTGGTTTGTTTTGGATAATTCAGTGGCTTCTCGGTGGTCATTGATTTACTCGTTTCAACCTAAGAGAACAAAGACATTGCAGAAGTGTTGTAGAAGATAATAGTCGGCTATTCTAGTGCGTCTTTATAGTCTGATATTCTGCTGTGAATAGGACAAACACCACGATCAACTCTTCTATTGGTTTAATGTTGTATTAAGGCAGGAAAAGATCTGCTCAATAAATGTTTCTGTTCACTGGTTAGTGTAGTTCAATTTAGTACCACTTTAGACACATTTCTGTCTGAGTAAACATGACTGAAATCTTTTTCTGGTAATGAGTGCTGTCATTTTCAAATGGTCCCCTGGGATTTCTTAATTTTGAGTTGGATGGAATAAATGTGTTTTTATTTGCCATTGGGGACTGTACACACCCAGAAGGGGGGGGGAGGGGGTGTAAATCCCAGACATCTTTTCACCAATGCAAGCATTATGGAAGAATGAAGTGCCTGTTTTATTTACACATTTCTGACAGGGTAAACACAGACGTAGAGGATTGCAGTGTTAAACAAGGATGCATGGTATGGGATTTAAGTTTGGTATGCGAGTGCCATAACATACACAGTAATAGAGGAACCAACACTAATGCTAACAGGAAATTATCTTGCAAAACATTAGAACGCAAGACGTATGTCATATGACATTAAATAGACAGGATGTGGACGTCTGCAGGGGTATAATGGCCTCATTCCTGTTTAAAGGGGTGTTCCGTTTTTTTTGGTTCAAGCTCTCCTGGGTAAACATACTGTTTGTGCCTTTTTTTTAAACTTAAAATCTTAATATAAATGCACTCTATATCAATTTTTAAATTAAGTCAGGTTTCTAAGTTAGTGACTGTTTTATTTAAGATGTTGTTTTTCTTAGAAAATGAAGTGGGACCTTTTTCTCTTTTTTACCCTCTAATATGATCTGTGTCTGTAAGTGTTGTGTGAGTGGCATTAAGAGTAATGACAACCTTTTTTGTAACATCATCACGTCATTCAAAGACATGGAAGAGAGAAAGGGGGTTAGTGATGATGTATTTTCAGAGAGAACAGGAACATTAATGGGATGCTATTGAGAGACTTGTTAAAGTAATGAGGTTCAAAATTAGCTTCCTGTTTCTATTCTGTCAACAGGTTTAAAGCAGAGGAGACGCTCTTGTCGACTCCAATTTATTTTTAAAACACTTAAAAACACCTTGTTAGCTTCATTACAGTCGTTCACATACTGGCACAACACAAATAGATGACAACAAAGGAGAAAACAACAAATAAACAAATCGTTCTCTTATTGATGAGCACTTAGCAAACCTATCCACACATCAATGTTGTGCCAAATGTTAGACAGTATGTATGTGGTGCTGTCACCGTTTAACCTGCTCATCTGCATCAATAGAGTACCGTGTACTTGCCGAGATCTGCAGATTTCTCTACCTCATTGTTATAGTGTGGATTTCTCCCAGTGTGCATGAAGAGCCGGCTCGTAACTAGAGCACAATGGGAGATTAATCGAGCACACGTTGCGTTTAAAAATGTGAAATAACGTCGTAACATCTGTTTTATAAAGTAACAGTTAAGTATAATATTATCACAATCTCATGAATATGACTCACTGGCTATAGTCAGGTGATGCAATAATGTGGACTTATGTACATATGGGGGGTTTGTTATGAATTAAGTTACTGAAAAGGACGTTTATTTGCAAATATATGCAATTAGAGTCAAATGTTTTTGCAAATTATTTTTGTATTGCACGATTCATACTTTGATCTCCCTTCTTAATTATTTCTGAATTAATCTTTTTCAATCTAGCACTAGAAAAGTTCATATTTATTGTTTATATTGCTACTGTATACAGTGGTTCCCAGCCTGGGGGTCGGGACCCCAACTGGGTGTCGCCAAAGCTTCACAGATGGTCGCAGGGCCTTGAGGATTTTAAGGGGTGTAGGAAAACTTAAAAGATGTACACAGGAGGACTACATCTCAGCATTTTGTTCATTTATGTGAAGAAAACTAAATTAAATTGTCATTTTTAAAGTTTTTAATGTTTTTTTTTTTTTTATGTTTTATTTAAGCTTGAAACTTTGAAGACATGACAACAAGCTATATTCACAGAGCTTTCACTCTCTGATAAACATAATAAAAGCCAGAGGTTAAAACAACCAAATAGCTAAAAGAACTATGTACTAGGAGTTTGACTAAAATAATAAAATAATCTGCTAAAGATTCATCAAAATTGGTTGTTCTACCCAAATTTCCTGAAATATCCATAAAATATGTCACTTTGTCAGGAGTAGTCAGTTTACTCAATGCTAGAAAAGGGGTCTCTTCAGGACAAAGGCTGGGAACCACTGATATATAACATGTATTATTTATAAGATGTAGTTTTTACTTTAATAGTGACACAATTGCTAAGATATATTTATTTTCTTTAAGCATACTGTGCATTTTACTGTACATGGCCAACTTTATTGTAATTCTAAGCTCTGTGCCAGGGTATGTTTACTGCCAGTGTCCTCTTATAAAGCCTGTATGTAAAAAAAACCACTGTATGTATGATAATAACTATGTATAATGTATGAAACTTGAATAAACTGCAATACACAGCATATCATCAGTTAACACGTGTGCCTATGTTGATTTTAAAGAGAAGGGACCTAGAGACACATTTCTTTAAAGGGAGCTAAATACATAATTATCTCGGGATAATAAAGTATCACATTATGAATGTAAGCTCTGTCCTGTGGTGGCTGTAAAACTTACACAGCTGAAAAGAATTAAGTATGCTTGGCTACATCTCTGACAGATATAGTCATTTCTAAAGCCGCTGTTACTTTACACAAAAAGGCAATAAACATGTTTGTAGGTAAGTTTTAGCTTATAGATGTTATAGTGAATTGTTTTTGCACATTTTACGCATAAAACTTTTATTACTTGTAGATTAAATGGTCCACAAGTATTCCATTTGTATATAATTTGCACAGCAATACCAGTTATTTATATATATTATATATATGAGTGTATTGTTCTACAGTTAATTTTGAAGGGATGTATTCACTGTTGTAATCACTGCGGTGTGCCTCTAAGCTACTGTGGGGTGGCATACTGTATAACAACTACTCATAATAACATAACAGTCCTGTAGGTGTGTAGCTTTGTAGTTTTGTTTGCACAGTATCCTAAAATGCTGGTATTCACAACAAACCAGGTCTGTGTGGGGGGAAAGGTCTCCACCCTCACATGCCTCGCTTGCTTTTTGATCGAGCTCTCTGGCGACCAATTGATAAAATCTACCCCCTGTGAGGGCGGGAATAGGGAAATTTCTGATTTTGTCGGAGGAGGGACTTCCTCCAGAGCCGCTGTTGGATGGCTGGCAGCTGCTGGGCTGACACGTAACTGAAGTTAAAGGTGCTATGGAGGCCTCGTCAGGGACTTCGGCAAGGTTTTGTTTTTTCCCGTGAGCGTCTCGGAAACTGCGTCGGGAAAAGTTTAAAGTGCGCCAAGGTCCACTGGGACGCAAGCGGGAGTCGTGAGCCCTCGGGTTTTTGTCCGCATTTCTCCAACAGCGCAAGAGTTTGACGTGAAGTCGAGCGAAAATCTGAGCGGCTACTTTGAAGTCACAGGGGGGAGAGAGAGAGCGAGAGGGTGGGTGGGGGAGTGAGAGAGAGAGTCCTAGTGGATGTGGCTATGCTACAATAATGTGCACGTCGGGAAATATTAGCACTTAACTCATATTTTCTGCTTGGAAATGCTCGGGGAGTGAGGGGCGGAGGAGGAGGAGGAGGTGGTGGAGGAGGCGGAGGAGGAGGAGGAGGAAGGGGGGCTTCTTCAGGAGGTTAAAAAAAAAAAAAAGAAGAAAAAAGAAGTTGAGTCGGGAAGTTTCCAGGAGCGGAGACGGGGTTTTCTCCCTCACACAGCGGGGAGGGTTGCGGGTCCAACATGGGGAACGGGGTGTGCTCCCGGAGGCAGCGGAGGATCTTCCAGTGTCTCCTGCTGGTCACCGTGGTCTGCGGGATGATGTACGGGGGGATGATATCGTATGAGATGCACAAACAGCTCAAGAGGACGGAGGCGATGGCACTGAAGTACCAGCAGCACCAGGAGTCGCTCTCGGCACAGCTCCAAGGTAAACACTGGGGGATGTGATTGAATGTTGACAGAGGCGAGCGTGAGAACTCCTAATTGGATGCAACGAATGTCACACCAGACTCCGCTAACAAAAGTGCTGTTTTGTTGTTGTCGCGCTTCCTGTCAAACGCTTGCGCCCTTTTTTTAACAGGTTTTAAAACCTAATACGGTTCAAAACGAGCCGTAGTTCAGTTCGGCTGGGTTAGTTTTTCTCTTGTTGCCAAATGCTCAGTGGGTGGTGGTATTGGAAACTGCACAGAAATAAGCGCTTATTTTGGGTGTGTGTCAAATGAAAAAATGCAACTCCAGCTATGTCTGTCTGCCGTCTGACCTGACTGGACCGTTTTACCGAGAGCCAGCATTTGACCTTTGACCTTAGGTAGCCTTCTAATCTTGTGTTAAACAGGTTGTAGTCTGAGCAGATTGGGTTCAACAGAGAGTTCATTTGTTAGGACAAGTCTGCCTTTTACCTAGGCCTAGGAAATTAGATCCCACCGCTACACAGAAATTTGGTTTACTGCTGACTAGAGGCTGTTGCACGCACACATAAACGCACACCTGGTTATAGTCACTGAGTCCCCAGGCTCACCTCAACAGTACATAGATTAGTATACCTTTTCAAGTCATGATGTCAGCCAGAACATCTGCTTGTGTCAGCCACAGCTGGAGGAACAGATGAGGAAAAGAGGGCACAGTCACCTTGGTTTCAAGCAGGAGTTTGCGAAGCATACTGTTGCGTACAGTATTAACTTGTTTTTATGGGTTGGCCAGGCGGTTGTGTGCTGACATTGCTCTGCAGAAGACAATATTGTTTGCAGCACTTTTGATTTTGATGTGGCCATGTTGTAGTCTTTTCTAGTCTAAAGATAAGCACTTGGTATGTTTTGCAAATGTTTTAGTCCAATATTTGCAGACATTCCTGATGTAAACAAACCTATTTTTGCAGCACAACACATTAATAATATTGATTATTTAGCCATGTATCAAAACAAATCTCATTCTTTGTTTTTGACTTGAGCATAAAATCTAAAATATGAAAAATAAGCCCTTATTTGTTTTGTTTGTGTGTTGGATTCATAAATGAATAACAACATAACAAATTGTTTTGATTTTTGATTCTAAATTGAATATGAAAAGAATGAATGATTTCAGTCCAGTGTTGGATTTTGATTTGGATCAGAGATTGTTCTTTTACAGCATCCCTGGCTACACTTCAGCATATTATGTCAACAGTTATTTAGTCACAGTCAGAAAACATTATGACCGGCAATAAAAAACTGCATTCACACATGAAAATCAGTAGATACGGACTAATCAATCTGCTTTATTGCCGTGTTTAGAATAGTGACACACATTAGTAGACCTACACTGTGTCTCTCTGTATTACCAGCACAGTGTTTTTATTAAAAACGTAACTTTAGTAACTCGCATTGCTCTATGAAAGATTAAATAGTCTTGTACTACAGTGACCTTACTGATGTACTCCCTCATTACAAACGCACTTTAACACACACTGCTGCGCTGACAGGATGTTTTGTGTCATGCCATTTTTGCATGAGTTTGAAATTAACAGTTGGGCGGAGAGCCCGCTCCTCCATGGCTTCATCTGTTCAGAACAAGGTTTGTGCCCACATCAGGGAGTCACATAGTGTTTCAGGGTTTTTTAGACTCTGGACCTGTTAATTTAATGCAGCCTTTGATCCACCTAACCAGCAGTTATCTCTATCGTCCACAGCTTGGTCCTGCAGACCTACCAGGGAGTTCCCCTTAAACTCCTACCCATCACGTTTGTAACAGTATACGCATACACACGCATACACAGGCCTGTGATTGTTCTGGTGTGATGTGAAGCGCTTTGTGACAAATAAAAAAAAATAAAAAAATGTAACTGTTAAACAGTAAATCTGATCTGAGAGTTGTTTTTTTGTAGTGGTTAGGGCTTTCAAGTGGGCAGCCTTATAAGAGGAAATGTGTTATTTGTATCTCCATAGTATTAAGTTACTTTCATACTCGTTTCATACTTTGTTTTTTACTGTGTCCGTTTCTAAGACAAAGGTAGTTGGGTAGTGGTCCCACATTCAACGGGAGTGAAGCAAACTGCTTCAAGTAAGGCAGTGTTCAAACCCCACCTCAATTGAATGCCTGTTTTCCTCAAGCTAAGGAGCTTCTTTTAGTCATTTTCAGGTCTGCGTTACACAGATGGCTCCTATTTCACGTTTCTCAAAGCTGACGTATCGAGAAACAGACAACATGACAGTATAATGTGACAGTTTGAATGAAATGGGTATTGCTTAACTCCGTCTGCATCTCTCGACTTGTGCACCACACCCGTGCTTTTATTGTGAGACGATGGATCTTTTAGCCAATTATAAGGCCCGGGCCACTTGATATCCATGGCTGACTGTTGATTGTGGTTTTTGGTGTCCTATATTTAGAGGTGGGCCATAGCTTGGGGGCTGTTAGCCAGCCATATTGAGTCACTGCCCACTTTAACCACAGGCTGGCAGTTGTCAGTCATTTAAAAGGATCAACTGGCACTTTGTGGTTATGCTTGTACTCTGACAAATGTGTCTCTGTGATTTAACACCCATTCCCTCACACACTCACAGACTCAGCATTGTTTATATGTCATCTGGAAAACAGTAATCAAATGTAATAATTGTAGCCGTCTCTAAATGAGTGTTGTAATATTTTTTATATCACCCACACTGTTGTCGCATGCTGTTCATTGTAACGAGCGCTGTTGTCTCAACAGATGGAATGGTTTGTTGTTATCCAGGAGACAAAAAGAAATGCATGCTTTTGTTCTTTGAGTTAGACGTGTACTTTCTCCCTGGATTTACCACATTGGATTTGTTTTTGTGTTTGTTTGGTTGTTTTTTCAGAATAATTAAATGAATCCAATTTTGTCTGGCAAAGTTTCTTCCAAAGGTCTAGTGTGTAACATTTATAAGGATCTATTGGCAGAAGTACAATATACATAATAATGTTTTCATTCCTGAAAATACAAATCGTGCATTCATTACCTTTTGAATAAGCCAGTTTAATCTACAGAGGGAGCGGGTCCCCTTCCACGGAGACCGCTATGTTTCTACAGTAGCCCAGAACGGACAAACCAAACACTGGCTCTAGATAGTCCTTCACAGACACCGTAGTTTCTCCGACATGCTTGGAAGGCTAAGCTGTATTCAAATGTTTGCAATCTGCTACTTCACCACTAGATGCCACTGAATCCTACATACTGGCCGTTTTAAAATAAAAAGGAACGACATGGAACAATAATCAACCAAAGCACACAACAGAACACTGCTGCCTACATTCAGAATATAAACCAGAAACTCATGTGAATATTAAAAGCAAAATCACTCCTTTTTGATTTTAGAATTAGTTTATTCAGGGGTCTCAAATATCCAAATCTCTCTGCTCTGTTCTCTTAACCTTCATCGTGAAGTCCATTATTTGGTCAATGAGGAAGTGAGTTAATTGCCAGGTTC